CGTCATTTTTCACGTAAACGTCATTGCCATGTACTTCCCATGATTGGACTCTTCAGTTTTCAATTAAGGACAAATTAGTATTAATCTATGCATAGTTGTTATTCTGCCTCTTTTTTTTCATAGAGGAGAATTTTTCCCTCTAGACATTATAAGTTCTGACAATTATATTCTGGAAGTTTTTTATGTGTCTCTGTAGTTCGAAATAGGAATAATTCGAATTTACGATTTCAGCCTGACTCATCGCTGAATGTATTTGAGATGCTCAGGTGCTCTTGTCTTTGCTTTTGTTCTATAAATATGAAAAAAATTGAAACTGAAACTTTTATTGGAATAAGCTTCACAATGATCGATAAATAGTTGAAATAAATAGGGTTACTTGTCCGCCTGGAAGGCATATAATTTCGTCGTCTGAAAGTATTTTGTTAATTTCTTCGTTTGAAACAGGGCTCGTACTGGTTTACTTTCCGCAAGGTCCGGGGCAGTTTGGCTGTCCACAGCAGCCTCCAGAAGATCCACCAAGGCAGGCAATAGCTGGAGTAGCCATCAGGGCCAAGAGAAGGAAGAAAGCGATGAGCTGTAAAGCAAACTGTAGTCAGCTTCTGTAGATAGAAAAGTTTTACCATACGAATATAGGTAAGCATGTTTCGAGAAGACGTCGGCTGACTGTTGGCTGAGCTTCGAAACAGCGGCCTTATATCCTCTGCTAACCGGACACATTCGGCTACCTGCCGGTAAGCAATATCCTAGATCGTTCCACATCAGTTGGCTTAAGATGATGGCCAAGAAGCCATTGTGGAAACTTGCCTCCAACTGTGAACGTTGCAATCTTATTACCTCAGGCTACTTAAACAGGTTTTCTAAACTATTCTAATGTGACTAGTGGCCATCACAATACTTCTTTGAGACATTCGTGTGATCAAACAACGCAGTTTGAGGACACTAAGTGTGACTTCAATAATAAATTCGAGTGACCATAGGTCATTCCTCAAGATATTCCTAGTTTTTCATATGAAAATCCACTTTTACTTTGCAGCCCTCCTTTACCATTCAAACTTAACAATGCCCTATTTAATGAGGATTCAATAAAATCTTATATAATTCATTGTCAAATAGAGAAAACGTCAACTTTATGAAAACAACTTATTCATCATTCATCTCAGAGAAAACAAGAAACAGAACAACTGAGGATAGAACAAACTACATCGTGAGATTCATGATGGCGTTAACAATATCATTGTCTGCGGCTCGCAAGGCTCGAATGGCTTTGTTTCGGGTGGCGTTGGCTTGGGACATGACCAATTCAAGATCCTTCTCCTCGATTCCAGTGGCATCTTCCTGTAAGTCAATTATTTAACAAAAACTAATTAATCCGATACGAAACCTCAACAGAGTCATCTTCATCTTCTTGGACGGTGGCAAGTGGAGCTGGAGCATCATCGCTGGGCTTGATTCTGTCCAAAGCAGACATTTGAGCGTGTTGTGAAAGATCTTCAATCTTGGCTTCTCCGAAGACAATGTAGGTATCAGATCCAGGGCTCTTGTATACATCAGGCTTGTTGATAACGAAGAGGATGTTCTTCGACTTGCGGATGCAAACGCGGGATACTCCAGTAACTGGCTTAAGTCCGAGCTTGGAGAAAAGTTTGCGAGCCTTCTTTTCAGATCGACTTTGCTTGGCGGCCTTGTCGACTTGTTCAGCTAATCCAGCAGCCTCAGCTACTTTCTTCTGCTCCTCGGTGACATCGACACCTTCGTCATTTTCCTCCTCAGAGTCGCTGGAAGCGTCCTCGATCTAAACATCAGGTAAATTCATTGATCAGCAAGCTGATTAGATCTACCTTCTCGACCTTGGGCTCTTCAACTTCTTCCTTAGCTTGAACTTTAGTCTTGGCAACCATTTTAAAACCCTACAAGTAAGCATAAATAAAAAAATATAAAAAACAGACAGGTATAAAACGGTTCCAAAGCACCGTTGAAAAAACAGTAACAAATGTAAAAAAGATAATTCACTATTATACAATTATTAAAAAAAATTGAATAAGTCTCTAATCAGCCCAGCAACGAGACTTCTGAACAAGCTGTACAACATAATATGCTAGTTACATGTGTAAGTATCAATGAAAATATAAAACTAGTCACAACCAAAAATGAAAGCAATTCCAAGTACTACGAGTAGCAGAGTACAATTTTACAAATACTTACACTAATTGAAGAATAAATATATATCACAGTTTCAAATCACACTACTCGTTACCAAAACCTTCAGTCATTTCAATAGCCATATTCAATTTCTCAGCTAATTGCTCATAACTTCGATAAGGTGGCAGATCGAGTCTATTGAAGCAGGTATGAGACCTTGGAAGCCAGTTATCCTTTCCGACTCTCTCGATACAGAAAAGCTGTGGCCCCGTGCTGCCCATAAGTTCAGCAAAACCTCCAACTGGCACTCTGCATGTTCCGGTGACAAATTGCAATAACCGCGCCCTTTTTTCTTGATCCAAACTTCGTACCCACTGCCAAAACCAAACTACTTGCTTACTCTGAGGGGCGTAATGGCGATATACTGTGTTTCTTTGCCAGTCATCAACATCAACATCTTGCATTCCACAAAGTAACAGTTCAAGCTCTCGCTCATCGAAATACTGAAGCCATTCGAGTGGGAACACAGAATTGAAACCAACGAAGAAAGCTTTGGTTTGCTGTTCAACACCTCGGTTGAAACGCCACTCTACCAAAAGCTCAATATACTCGAGCTTATTAGCTTCAGTGACAGGGATATCACCACCTCCAGGTTTCAATTCATGCGTTTTCAGTTCACCCAAAAGCTCGTAGTCATCGACAAAATAGAGCTCCATATCGCACTCATCAATGTTATTTTCCTTGATCCACATAACTGAGTTGTAGAACTCTGAATCAACTTGTTCCAGGTCTTTCAGAACAATCTTCTTGTTGAGCATCTTCTTGTAGAATGGCATTGTGAAACCAGAATAAATGAACTTGCCATGGAACAATGCCTGAGTCATCATGATGTAATGTGAAATTAAATTGAAAACTAACCATAGCAATAAAACGTCCAATGTACTCAAAGTACTTCAAGTGATCTGGATTGACAAATGAAGCAGGATTTATTTGGAGGCTGTAGTTACTGTTACCCGCATACATAAACAAACAATACATAGGGTTCAAAACCTCATGAGATAGAAGGAAGAACCATTCCCTGAGAATGTGATATATTTTGGATCATAATTTTAGAAATACCTCGCAACTCCTCCATAATCTAACCCTTCTTCTCCACGGAACTGTATGTACAATCGCCGTCTCAAATCGACAGCATTCTTTCTCATTATTTCTTGGAATGAATCTTCAAAGACATTGGAACGTGACACAGTGATTTTCACATGATTTGGAACACTATTCGACTGAAGCAAATGTTCTGTTTGAATTATTATAAAATTTTCCTTACTAAGCATAAATATCTGAACTGAGCAATCTTCCATCGGAAAGATCTTTCATAACTCAATGATACACCGAACACTCCCATTGGACCAACGGGCTTTCCAGTTCTCGGATCATTGTACGTGGTTGTTTTAGTTTTATGGTCAATGAAGAAAGGAACCCCTTGCTCGGTGAATCTCATTTCCCAACCTTCAGGTAATGGTTGATCAGAAACGCTATAGAAAAATGTGATTATCAACGTATTAAAACATATTTCACAATACCCCTGAGTGCGAGGATCCTCCCATTGCGTTGTTCTATTTACATGATTGACAAAGTACATTCTCCCCGTATTTGTATCGGGTCTTTTCTCCCATCCATCAGGTAAAGGACCTAATGGATCGTCGCTTGGTGTCAAAGAATTAGACTGCAAATACATGCTTGAGTCGCATTATGCAAACAAGAGTCATACCTGCAACAAAAATCGCTGTTCCCACTGATGCATGGCTTGATCTCTTCCTGATTGCCATTGCTCATGAGCAACAATCATATCAGCTGTAGGTCTTTGCCATGTGGTTGTTCTAGTGTTATGATCAACGTAATAAACCTACAAACCGACATTAAATTTAAACGCAAACTTTTAGTATACATACCCGTCCCCTCGGATCTCTTCTCATTTCCCAACCAGAAGGAAGGGGAGTGCTTGAGGGCCTTTCCCAAGTTGTGCTCTTCGTTGTATGGTCAACGTAATACTTACGACCGTATTGATCGAATCTTCTTTCCCATCCTTCAGGCAACTGCTCCTCTTGAGGATTATTCTAGAATAAGTCACTGAGGTTGAGTCATCAGACCAAATGATAAACCTGTTGTTGTGTAGCTATTGTGTCACGAGATTTTCCGGCAGAAGGCCTTCTGCTAATACCCGATGTTGAGGCTTCACCAGTATGGCCTTCTCTATTAGAGTTATCTAAAGAAGAAAATTATGCTAAGAAAAAAATGGGGTAATTTACTTCCAGTTCTTCTTTTCTGCTTATCTACATAACAGGAAACATTTGCCTTCAACGTCCCAATCTTATTATTATCTTTGTTGTTCAAAGGTAGATCAAACGATTTAGTGCCCCCTTAACAAAAAGATTATTGAAATGAATGACGAATGATAAACTCACAGTCTCCAGTTTCAGTTTTGGGAATAGCAGAAGCTTTCAATTTAGCTTGGGCAATTAAAGTGTCCTCAAAAAGTTTCGACTTGTTGAATACTCGGAAGAGAATAACACTATTGTCTGTGATATTTACAGAATACAACTCGTCCCATTCGGGACTATTAGTTTTCTTTTTGACATTAGTTTTTGCGATATGACTAAGATTTGAGGACTCTTCGACGGAGATATCAACATAAGAATCAGCAGGCTTGTTGCTGAACAAACCTCCCGACGATGTTAATTTTGCAGAGACAACTAAAATTGATCAATATTAAAAAAGATTTGAGAGCGGAATACCTTTAATGTTAATTTTGCCCTTGACAATCGTACCATTTTGAACGGATGAAGAGCTGGTTGTACCTGTCGTTCGCTTTGGGTCATTAGCCATCAACCTATAAGCTGAAATATGCAGACTGAAGTGCCCAAATTGATTTTTTCACGACAAGTCACGAGTCAAAGACAGATATTCGATAAAGTGGTGTGATAATAATCCTGTGCAATAATTACAGAAACAAAATTTAAAAAATATATACTATAAGGTATGGGAAAAGAAATTTCACAAAATTAAACAAAGGAGAAATCTATAGTGATCTATGAATTATCGTATTTTTCATCATCAACCATTCCACACGATAGGTAACATGCACATCTAACTTTAGCTGCGCCGCAATTCGCATTTGAGCAAACTTCAATCCAGTTCTTGAAAATCGAACTCGCAAGCTGGTAGAGGTAGTAATAATAAAAGCATTTCAATAATTTATACTAAAATATTCATGAAATATATACAATCAATCATGTTTCCTTTTGTTAGAAATTGGTTTTCCGCCTTGAACCCATGACATAATTTCCTTACGCCAAACAAGGATATTTTGAAACAACTCTTTTTCCATATTATCAAACTTCTCAGGTTTGGTATGTCCTTGTAGTCCTTTGCATACAACATCTTTGAACAAATCATTAATACTCAAGCTGAGCATATTTCAATACTTACCTCCAACTCGTTGAACAAGTGTTTGAACCAAACAATCTGACAGTGCTTGTCCGTCTTCTCTCTCTAACACGTCAGCCAGATGCATCCCCACGAAATAAAAATACTGGAAAATCCATATTGAAGATATATAAAAACAAAACACACTTGTTGCAATCTTTCTAGGTTAGCTGAACTGGCATTGGATAGTAGAACGTTCTGAACAGCTGCATTATAAGCTTTTGGCAAAATGATCTGAATATAAAAATAGGAAGCTGATTTTTCAACCAACAAACTTGACAATGTTCCTTAATCGTTCTCAGCATCCACAAAGGAACTTCGGCTTTGAGTCCTTTGGGATCTATTACCACGTTTTCACTCAATCCAATCAAAGGAAAAAAGTCTTTGAATGAAGAAAATTCACGAAGTTAACTAGAATGACGCTCACCTTTGTCAATAGTATTCATGATTGTACAAGGGATATTCGTATGCTGTGCAAGTATATCATCAAGATCATAGTATTTAGAAGATACAATCAAATCATCAGTTGAAGCCATTTCAAAACAGCTTTATTCTAATTTACCGGGAAGGGATGCTCCCACCCATTGAAATTGATTCTCCCGCCTTGCAACAGGACGGTGCACTAGTACGCCGTTACCGTAACCAAGATTTTAACACATAGTCACTCTATTCAATTTGTACCATACATTTTGTGGTATACTTGTTCTATTAATAGTTCTTGTTGAATTAGAAATGGATAACGACTATGTAGTTTCTTAAAAATTAGTCATTTTAAAATGAGAAGACTAACTTTGGAATTATTTGACTTATTCTGATTATTTTTTCTATGAAACAGTCATTATTTTCGCATATCAGTGTGTTGATGGAAAAAAAGAAAACTCGGATATCAGTATGGATAAATCATTAAAACAAGCAGTTACATAAATCAGATGTTCCCCTCGATGCAACTCTATATCTAAACGGAATCCCTAGTCGTTTCGTACATGTACTCCTGTCGTGTCCGTCACCACATTATTTTCCGAATATAAAAAATGCCTATCCAGGAAAGAGGCGGGAGTCACGAGAAAGTTGACAGCTAATGTTAACCGTCTAGGAAGCGTCGTATTCTTGAACTTTTAATAAAATAATCTGGCAATAACTGTAGCCCAATCAGCATAACTGAAAATGTTTTCAGCATAATAGCAGCAACTTGCAAATTCACTATACTGAACGTCAATACTCTTATGATGTTCTCTTATTCTGAACATCTAATTTTTTTCCCCAATCCTCTACATATGTTAAGGAATTGTGTTTTTCTGCTTTTTTGCTTGAATCAGTTATATTTATACGGAAAAGCTGGGCCACAGATTCAAACGCTTGGAAACAGAAAGAGCTTGTGAGATGAAAAACTGCTCAAAAGCGGAAGTATTTTCCAACATCCACTCGGAGTAGTGTTTGAGACCATTGAAAGGTTCAAAAAATGGAAGAATATGTTCTCAAAAAAAATGAATCAATACAAATTGTGAGTAAGAAAGATCATGTACTGTATGATCCTCAGGTTGGAGTACAAACTGACGTGTCATGTGCTCTACAGTGTACAATTTTGTATTTTGTGGTGTTATGTTTGTTGAAACAAAACACTAACAGCCCTTAATAAATAGTGAAGTATGTTCTTTTCACGCTTTCACGCTCATAACAAGATAAAGGCTATTTCATTTGAGTAAGTGACAAGAAGTTCCACACTTAAATCAATTTGTTCTGGCTCGTTTGTTGCTCACAGTGAAAGTGTATTCGTAATGTAGCAATTTAGCGCATTTGCTTATCGACAAGAATTTTATCGGCTAGTCCTCAACATGAAGAGATATAGAATTGAGAAGAGAGTTAGCTAAGAAATATTGGCTTTGTAAGGCTTTCGATGCGTTGTCTGTCTGTCTTTTCTGGCAACTTCCTGTCTGCCCCTTGGGGGATGAGATGCGTCCATCGATTCGTCTCAATCTCGACCCACGATGGTGGAGGGTGGTGTAGCTATCGTTAAATATTTACTTTTTTTATCAAATTTAATACTATGGGTAAGTTCTTCGGTCAAACATGTTTGCCGAAATATTGGAACAGTACTGAGCTTCTTTTTTTTCAGACTGGAGGACTTGGTCTGATAATCCTGGGATCAGTGCTGCAGTTGAAGTTTGCAGGGGTGTTAGATATATTAGGGGATGAAAGGTATGATCATTGTATATTAAAGTGTATATCTCAGCATTGCAGGTTAGCGACCCCTATACTGTTGTTAGCCCTTGGCACCCTATGTACCTTATTAGGCTTCTTGGGATGTTGCGGAGCTATCAGGGAAAATTACTGTCTGACAGTTTCATTCGCGGTTCTTCTAGCTTTGGTTATTGTATGTTCAAGTAACTAGAGCTTGACTTGATAAAAAATGTTAAGATGCTGGAAACAGCTGCGGTCATAACAGCTTACGCTCTTCATGAAGATATTAGAAGTGGGTTGGCTAGCCAACTTCAGCTAGGGCTTCATCGATATAACAAAAGCAGCGGGGTACAGACTGCATGGGATCAAACTCACCAGGTGCATGGATTTTTTAAAAATCAAGTATTCATTGTTTTTCTTAGCTCTTCATGTGTTGTGGTGTCTTCAATGCAAGCGATTGGTCATCTTTGGGGGCTATTCCAGAGTCCTGCTGCATTCATCCTGAAGAGGGATGTATTCACGACCTGAATGCACTGTATCAGCCAGGTTGTATAGATAAAGTTGAGAGTGAGTTTTTTGAACATGAAAACACTATTATCTCTCGATGGTTTAATTTTGTTTCCATTGGTTCAGTTGAGCACATTTTGAAATTTGAAGGCTGGGCGCTTGTCAATGCCGCTTTGGTTGGAGGAGCCTCAGCAATACTGGCTGGTCTTCAAGTCATTGGTGTCTGCTTCGCTTGTTGCCTTTCGAAGAGTATCTTAAAAGATTTCCATGATTTTTATTATTAAACGGCCAAGTTGTGTAGCCGTAGAGGAAAAATGAAATCAATCGATGAATTCTCATGTTATTAGTATACATACGATTTTATAAGAAATTTTAATAAAAGTTTGTCAAACTATTTGTAATGTTGAACATAGACGGTCAAGCCGTCCCCCCTTTAAGTAGACATTTTAACAAAGCAGAACCAACATGCTACCCTTCTCCTCTCTCACTCATCAATCTCCATACATCATTTACTCAACTGGCACCCAACGCTGGCCGTTTACTATAATCCCTTCCTTTCTCATAATCAATCTTTCACTAGTGATACTGATCTAAAGTTAAAACAAAAAAATAATTTGCAACTTTATTTTGAACCCTGTTCACATTCAAAAATACTGTGAGTAAGCATAAGGCAATCATAAATTGGGCAATACTTCAAATATTGAGCAGATTAAGCGACCTTGTAAGAATGAGTGAGAGGCTTGAGTAGCGACATGAAATAATATACAAACATCAGAGTTTGGAACTCTGAGTCAAATTACACAGCTGTTAGTTTAATGCTATATAAGTTATAAAGCCGAAAGCAGAGCATGATTGAAGCCAAACAGTCGAACACGTAATATGAAATACATTGCAATGAGGCAGATCAGAGAGGCAAGTCATGAGACCACATAAGTAAACTGTGCAATACTTTAAGTAAAAATCGTTCAAACTATAAAAAATATGAGAACCCTGCCATTTCTTAAACATATGCAATAGACTCATAGAAAGAAAATTGACTCTTCCAAAAAGAATGAGTCACTAGAGAATAGCCACATATGGCAGGAAACTTTTTACAACATCTTAAAACATAAAAGTCTAAAGCGGGCCATGATCTATTTCATAGAACTAAAACTGCATGCTGTGAAAATATTACAAGAATACTTACTATTTGATAGTGAAAAGAATTAACGTTCTGTGGTTGACACAGCAGATCGTTGGTTACAGAAACGAGAATAAGCTCTTTGGTAACTGCCTACAGTCTTAGAGCTACAGACCCAAACGGCACAGGTTATACCAACAACAAGTTGAGTGAAATATCTGAAAAAAAAACAACTTTAATAGAAGCTTATTTTCAAAACGATTACTTCAAGAAGAAAATCAGGATTTCAGGAGGTCGTGTGTCAGTACGAGGAAGACAAGTGGACAAGGGAGTGCTGAATCCAAAAACATGCCTATCCGCACGCAGACATCGATGAGTGTACCATCCTGAACATAAGCGTTCTCTTATTTGCAGTTAGTACTAGTATCTAGATTACCTTCAATCCAAACAGGCATTTGTACAGCCTGATAGCACAAAATAGCAGCACTTATGGCTGTGGGTAAAGCGTACATAACAGCAAATGCAGAAACTCTAGAAGAGAGAAAAAAACATTGAAGGTACTCTAAAAGTCGAACTACCTAAGCATCAATTTTTCCAGTTTACTGATATTCCTATCAATATCTGAATGCTGTAGCTTGATGTATCTCCTGATTCGGATCATGGACCAAACGCCACATACAAGAAGGATGATTCCCAAGCCTAAAAGCACTCGTGATACTCTCCCCCATTTTTTCCGCACTTACAAATACAAAAAGACATTGGGAAAAACACGAAGTACAGCAAAGCTTTAGGTTCTAGATTCCCAACAGAGCAGGTTCCTTAACAGTTGGATATACAAGCTAGAGAACTAGTATAACCAACCTGTAAAGACATCACCATCGATGGAGTTGGTCACCAATACTGCAACTGAGAGTAAGGCAGGAATTCCCCAACATACAGCGTGAAACATAGTTGATAAACTATCAATAGACTCTGCGCCCCACTTCAAATTAGCAGCCAAGAACCAAGCTAGGCACATTACAACCCACCTATAATCCAGACGTTATAATATTGTTCAATGAACTTCAAGTCTTACCAAGCACTACTAGCCATAGTGAAGTAATAATGTAACACTGCTAGAGCACTACACGGTACTTTCTCGCCACCTTGGGTTACCAGGGAATTCTTAGAATCTCCATAGGACCCACATGCAAACTTATCTTCTCCTAACACACCTAGAAAATTTTTTCTTAAAGATGTTGCAAAACTATCAATGTACCTATCATATATACAAGAGCAATCATGAAGTAGCAGAGAGCCATATACAGTATTGGACGCACGGGATATTGAAATCGTGACATATCAATTAAGAAGGTTATGATGGTAAAAACGCAGCAAACAGCACATGCTACCGACCATCCTCCGGTCCAAAACCGTAGAAAACGTCGGATACGAGAATCAAATAGCATAGGATACTTGAGAAAAAAATAAAAAATAGAACAGCACAACTAATCCAACCTGGTTATCTGCATCGCAAGGCAAGCTACAACTGTCCAATCGTCCAGAAGCTAGAGGTAGACTAAAGTGACCACCAAGCGAGGCTTTCATTGACATAGGGCATTCCAATGATTTAAACGAAGAGCTAAAAAAAATCAAGAAACTTGCTGTTTTCTGTTCAAAGAAACGAACTCTCTTGGTAAACTGGTAGATGAAGTTCTGTTCTCGCCTACACAAATACCATCAGCCGGGAACCTGTCGCACTCTAGTTGCTCAGGCCAACGGAAACCGAACTTTAGCATGAGGCTTTCGCAACCGTTCTTCGCGGATAGACATAAATCCCTACAAGGTTGGATCGGTTTCTCCAAAACAGTACAAACTGGTGCATATCTTGAAACAAAATGAGTGATTAGATACAGATACCGTTTTGCTTACACAGTGCAAAGAAACAATTTGATATCTTCAGAACATTTGACTTTAACTAAGGCGTTAAACTGGCTTATAGCATTTCCGGCTTCTTCTTGTGATTGATGATTAAGTAAATTAGGATAAACAGTCATGTTATAAGCGATATCACTACACATTGGTATAGTAATAGGGACACAATTTCTACCGGAAGGCACCATAGGCTATAAAACACAGATTCAACTTCTTTCAATAGGGAATGATGTTTTACCTGTTGATAAGCCTGTCCATTTATAAAAACATAAAGTGAAAATATATGAATGACTTGTAGCAACCCCATTATTTGCTCCCTTTCGTGCTTTTATTGCATTTCAACTTGAATTTGCTGAAATGCCGGAGTGATCATGATTAAACATGAATTATTATATGCAAATTACTTGAAAAAAACAAACTTTAACTAGCCAAAACACATAAAAACAAGAGAAGAACATAAAAATCTTAATGGGTCCATTAAAAGTCATCATAAATCAATCTAATGGGAGATACAACATCCCTACCCCCCGCTTAAAAAGCTACCGTACTCACGCAATCGCTTTGGGACCCTGATTATTATTTAAAACTTCTAAGCTATGGTACTTGTTATTAGAACATGAATAAGGTCTGGATATATAAATACAAAAGCTGAGATAGAATAAGGATAGTTGAAAACGTAGATAAAATTATAATTGAGAATTCAATAGAATTTTCTTCTGAGATAAAAGAGGGGATAAAAAATCTTCTCTCTTGACTGGAATATTTGCCCTTATCTTTTCATATATCAATTTGTATTGTCTCCAAAACTTCCTCGTTAGTTAGTGGTGATTAATTTATTGATCTTCTCCCTGTTCAACTTCACCTAACTTTTATCTCATCCTCATTTTTAATCCATACTAGTGATCCGCCTACGGATTCTAGAATATAATGGTTGACGTTGGTCTGCTGGTTCTCTCGGCCAGGAATATTTCACGGCTTTCCTCTCTGCTTTCAACTGCGAGGAATTCTGTGAAAACCAAGTTATATGTAAGGTATGACTTTGATTTACATATCATTTCATTCCTGCTATCTTTATTATCTTTCTAGTCGAAGTAATTTGCTCATTCATCTTTTTGACCATCTGCTGATTACTTTCGTTTTCAGAGTACAAGGACCTTGTCTACACACCGTGTTACCTTCAATATATTTACAATCTTCGCATGTATGTCCAGAGCTTGATGTACGAGTACTGTTGGGAAAAAAATTGCCAGCGAATGCCTTACTCATAGGAGAAGAAGAACCGTCTGATTATGATGTACCCAAGCCGTTATATAAGAAGGTTGATCAAATTCTATTTTTCTTTTTAGATCATAATTTTCAGGTTGTCATTGGAGGTACCTTTGATCGGTTACACAATGGACATAAAGTGCTTCTCTCTAAAGCCGCCCTCTTAGCTAGTGAGAGCATCACTTGTGGGGTGACATACAAGTCCATGATCATAAGTTCCGTTCAATGAATATTCCATAATTCATCCTTTACCTTTTAGAGAAACAGTTATTTGAGCTGATCGAACCTGTTGAAACTAGAATGATGGCAGTTAGAGACTTCGTATCTGATGTTTCCGATGATGTCGTCTGTCTTCCTGAACCTATAGTGGACCCATTCGGTCCATCAATTGTAGTTCCTGACTTGGAAGCTATTATAGTCAGCAAAGAAACCATAAAAGGGGGAGAAGCAGTCAATAAAAAACGACAGGTTAGCTCTTCTGAACTTTCAAGCATCTTTAATATCACGATGTTGAAGGAAAAAGGAATGAGTTTTCTAGAAACAGTAGTGATTGATCTTCTTGAAGCTAATGATGAAGTTCTCAATGAAACCAAAATTAGCTCGTCTAGTAGAAGGAGGTAAATAGGTTTTCAATTCATTAAAATTCTAGTTTTTAGAGAAGCTCTCGGAACTTTGCTCAAAAAACCAAACGTTCTTCCCAAGCAGAACAAGAAGCCATACATAGTGGGACTCACGGGGGGAATCGCTTCAGGAAAAACTAATATAGCGAAATATCTCAAAAAAGATGGAATTGAGGTTGTTTTCTGATGAGTTAACAGTTTTTTTAAGATATAATTCAGCTGATAGATTGCGATAAGCTAGCACATACATGTTATACCAGAAACAGCGATCTTGTTTTCGAAATTGAAAAAAAGTTCCCCGATGTTGTGAAAGATGGGGAGGTCGATCGTAGGGCTTTAGGAAGAATTGTTTTCGCTGATAAAGTTATCCTTTTCACTGTTTCATTTGAACTTATCGATCATTCAGGAAAAGCTGCACTGCCTGAGTAGCCTCATTTGGCCAATATTGAAAAAGAAAGTAGACGAAATTGTGGCTAACTCTACTAGCGACATAATAGGTGAACTTTATCTTTATATCAATTTAATGAATTATTTTCAGTGATAGAAGCAGCAGCTATCGTTGAAGCTGGTTGGGATGAACATATGAATGAGCTTTGGACCGTTTTTGTTTCTCCTGATGAAGAAGTTGAACGAGTCATCAGACGGGATTCCTTAAGTAAAGAAGAGGTAGTTTGTAACATGATTAATATGTTAAATCTCATTTCCAGGCTGAAAACAGGGTCAACAGCCAAATATCAAACATAGAACGTCTGTCTAAAAGTCATGTAGCTTTTTGTTCTCTGTGGGCTTATGAAGAAACGGAAAAGCAAGTGCAAAAAGCTATACTGAGTTTGAAGACGAGAATCGGTGTCTGAATTCAATAATCCTATAATAATTGCATAAATATTTATTTGTAAGACAAACGAGTGAATAGTATTCAAGATTGTTGTTCTGTATTTTCGCCTTGCATTATTTTATCCCAGTGTTCCATGCGTTTCGCACGATCTTCTTCTGTTTCTTCAACTTTGTACTTGGTCTTTCCATCCCAAAGTGAAGCTTGTATTCTAAAACGAGAACTTCGGTAAAGCATTCAGAAATCCTGAACATACTGTTTTCCACGAATAACAGTACCATTGAGCATTTTCACAACCAAATCAGATATTTCGGTCGTTTCGAATGCTACCGACAACACGCCCTCTGGATTGTTCTGAAAAACAAAAAAAAACCTATGCTAAAGAAAGTTAAACAAACATCATAAAGCACCAATTTCTTGGGTGTTCCGTACTTTGAGCAGAGCTCATTGAACATTTCCTTGATGTCGAACAGAAGAGCAGCATTTTCCTTTAAACTATTGGGAAAAAGTTCGAAAAACTAGACGTACAAGCATTTCCTCCAGAGTGAAAACATTTTTGAAAATAACAGTGCAGTCTGATTTTGGTCTGTAGTTCCTCGGTTTATCCGCTTTCCATTCAAACAACCTGAAACAAATCATGCCACATGCATTAAATAGGATTGCATACCGTTTTTGTCGATCCATGTATATTTTTTTTTGTGAAGCGGACATCTTCTTTCTTTTTTTTGTTGGATCATAATCTCCTTTAATTTCAAAATGAGCCTTCTCAACCTTGACCTCTCGATTTTTCAACATGAAACCATCCAAAATTTGAAGCGCTAAGTCTACTGACTCCTGAAAGCACAAGTTTAATCAAACTATCACTACTTCGACTGACTTTTTTGATGTAACAACAACGGCCATCGCCTTTTAAATTTCCTTCTTCATCCTTGTACAGCTTCGCCTTGGGCTTTCCGTTCCTTGCATCAGGTTGCACAACACCACATTTAGAGACAAAGTTCTTTGTAAACCAAATTAAAAGAAAAAACAAAGCGTTATTACCAGAAATTCTTCGTCTGTTATATCAGTGGGTAGATTGCTCAGATAAATAGCATTTACTTTATCATCCATGTCGATCCAACCTGATGGAACAGTAATAAATGCAATCCGTGGGATAGAAAAGTACCTTCAGGTCTCGGTTCCGCAGCAGCTCTTTTTCCTTTCTTTTCTTGTTTAGGAGGATTTAGTGCTCTTCTTTCTTCATTCATCTTCTCTATAAACATATAAAAGGATTTTGTTACTTATGAATTTTACCATAATCATATTCTACTCCATATCCAGCTTGATATTGGGCGATGAAGCTCTCGTCAACTTCTACATCCTTTTCCCATTGTTGTGTAGTAGCGTTCCATTTTGTTCGCACTCCATCAATAATCTGGAACAACGTAATTCACTCACTTCGAAACTACTCACCTTAACTTCAGAAGCTTCTTGCTCGAACCATAGCTGTTGGATGAATTCAAGATCGTCTTCAGGGAGCTCAACCCAACTCTCCTCTACATGATGCATGAACTGACCAGTGGTTTTATAACGCCCGTACCATTTTTCATTCAAGAATCTCATTTCGAAATCTGCAAACCTCCATAACAAAGAAAAACGGAGTTGTAAAATAACCTGCGATGGCGGCAGGATTATCGGATTCTTTAACATGTTCAGAAGTGTTTTCAGTTTCCGCTGGCTTAATGGTTTCAACGTCCTCCGACATCTTAAAATGCTAATTCCTTTAAAATCAGGAGACCATCAAAATGTATATTCGTATTTGAAAATACATGAGAGTTCAAAACATGAACATCTTTAACGCGATATACGCAAATTTGCGTCGCTGTTTGTCAAATTTTGTATTCAAAAAATAGCACTGAGAAACCGGTAGTATTCATCTGGCAGAAGAGGTCTTGTGAAAATCTATCTTTACTTTAATCAGAAGGGTTCTATTATGTCACGCTTTCATACTCATAGCAGCTGGTTTTCGTAACTTCGAATAGTTTTTCTAACAGCTACGTTCAGAACACTGTACAGGCTCTCCACAGGTGCGGAAACCGAAATTGGAGTTAGCGGAAGTTTATTTCTTTCTAGGTTTTTATGGATTGATCTTACTCAATTTCCAACGCTACAATTGAAGTAGTTAAGCCTGCAACCTTGAAACTTATTACTCAGAACAAGTTTCACGTTATCATTCAAGTTTCAATGAATGTTATAATCAAATTTTCGTTATGGATTACGTTAGCACATTCTTTGGATTATGGTTTTCGATGTACGGGTTTGAGAACTTGTCTATATTGAAACAGATTAATTACTGCTTGTAGTACAAAACTAAGTTTTTTTTTTCTGACTGGATAATTAGATCTTCTATTGGCCGATGATAGTCACCTCTTGTTGCAGATCAGAACATGAGAGTTTTAAGAGAATGCTAGTCGTAATCTACTTATTCCCTGTTTTAATTACGTGTAAATGAAGTTGAAGGTCAGTTTGTAAAGGAACTAGTAGGATATAACTGAATTCGAACTGTTATAAATTGAAGAAGTTAAGATTGAGTTTACTATATAAGGTAGAAAACAGTTTGTGATAGTATGGTCTGACGATGGGTGTAAAAACCGTTATATCTGCAACTGCTGTCATCACAGCAGCAACAACTCTTTTCTGTATCTTCTCAGTTGGTCAAATATTCAGTGATATTAATTCTTTCTATGATCAAGCTATCAAAGAATTGGATAACTTCAAGGTTTGTTCATTTTCCTGGTCTTATCATCCATACTTACATTATCGTCATAGGATGTTGCTAACTCAGCTTGGCATGAAATGAAACCATCTCCAGCTGTTTTCCGTGAACGCCGTTCGTCTCCAAGATCAGCCAACATTCATAAACGGCAGATAATACCAGGACTTCCTGGTGTTCCAGGGTTGCTACCCGGACTGTTCCCAGGAGGAGAAACATGTCAATGTGCCGCAAGAGCTGCAGCTTGTCCACAAGGACCACCTGGACCACCTGGAACTCCTGGATTGGTGAGCAAGCTTAAGCGGAAAGTTTTAGCCATAATTTCTCTTTCAGCCTGGACTGAGTGGTTTAGACGGTTTACCAGGTAGCAACGGAATTCCTGGAATAGCCCAGATTCCAGGGATACCCCAAGGCGAGTGCATCACTTGTCCGGTTGGTCCACCTGGACCACGAGGATCTGATGGAGGTGAAGGACCTCCAGGACCAGACGGATTTCCTGGAACCCCAGGAAACGGCCCCGGAGGAATGGGACCACCTGGACCACCTGGACCACCTGGAGATGCTGGTTTCGATGGAGCTCCAGGCATTAACGGCCTTCCAGGAAGACCAGGTCTTCCTGGTGTTAGAATTCGAAATATGCCAGGATTACCGGGGCCAATGGGGCCAATTGGGCCTCGTGGAACTGATGGGGGAAGAGGTGAAAACGCTGGACCTGGTAGCCCTGGACCTGCAGGCCCTCCAGGCCGTGACGGGATTCCCGGACTTCCAGGAACTCCAGGACTACCCGGTACTCCTGGCCTCCCAGGAACCCCCGGAGGTGACGCTGCTTATTGTCCATGCCCTACTCGTTCTATGGCTATGTTCCGTAAAGTTGCAGCTCGTAAAAAAGTTCGTGCAGTTCGTAAAGTTGTCAGGCGTTTCAAGCATTAAGCAAGTTCAGTATCACGATCGAATAAATGACTTTTATTTGTTATGTACATGACGAATTATACAAGGTTACTTTAATGTTCAAACTCAAAGCTTCTTTCGGTGGACATTGAAAACCCTCCAGACTCGTCTTCGGAAGAGGTTTGCTGGAAAATTTTTGAACTTCCAGTGATTATTAGTTTTTGTACCTTTCTTGCTTTCTTGCTGCTTTTCCTGCGATTTTTATTCAAAAGAGATTGTGAAAGCTTTATTATACGAACAGTTGGAGCTGTCTTAGGCAGATCAAATTGTCGAAGAAGAAATTTGTTTCTAAAAAATAAAGAGAAAAAAAGATGAGAGATACATATTTGATGAGACTTACGATGTTCGAGCTGAGGACTCATCAGCTCGAGCATGCATTTGAGTTAACAATAGTATAGATAGAAGGAGCACGAATAACGAAGGCATTGCTTTTGTGATGTTTTTAATTGAATGGCTTCTCTGTTAGGGACGATAACTGGCTAAAAACGGGCTTTTCCATGAAAGGGGTGATTTCCAGATTCGTTACTACTGAAGCACTGACGCCGGTGATTATTTTTACATCTTTATTACAATATTTAGATGATAGAAGAACGATTCCAATGATAATGTTGATGAACTTCCTACGTAAAAAGCTGATGTATTATACTAACTTTCTTCATTTCTAGCTTCCTTGGAGAAGGGATACACAAGCAGTTCACTTTCACAACTGATTTTTGGCATTTCTCGCTCTCAAACACGAGATGTTGTCTTTTTCTTCTTCTTCAGCCACATGAAAGCTTCTGTTGTAAAGTATAGCGGAACATGTTGAATAGATTATGAATCCTTCTTACAAAAACTTTCTAATCATTTGAAAATTTTATTAACTTCATTTAAGAAAATCTTTTTTTTTTGAGCGAGAATATAGTTTTTAGAAAAAATTGTGATAACGTAGATGTAGGATGGAAATCTGTGATGTAAATGCAGGAGAGAATGTCTGGAAAAACTTTTATCAGAAACAATCTAGAGCTTCAATAGACGTACAAACAGAATATTTACACGTTGATTTAATCAGATTCTCCAGCCATCAACTCCCAGAACTCTGCAGGAAGAATATTTTCAGATTATCAAGTAAGACTACTAACCTTCAAATTCAATTTTTCCTGAACCGTCCTCATCGATTTCGTCGACAGCTTCCTCTAATTGTTGGTCTGTGAGGTCATCGGCGATTTCCTTGAGGAGAGACTTGAGGGTTGGTCGTGAAATGTATCCGTTTCCCTAATTTATGTTTCATTATTTCTCAAAAAAGAAGTATACACTAACTTCCTTATCGAAAAGACGGAAAGCTTCACGCAGTTCTTTCTCAAGTGTTTCCTTATCAACGGTGTTGGCAACTGTGTAGACAAGAGCGCAGAATTCATCAAACTCAAGCTTTCCAGAACCATCAGCGTCGAACTTACGGATCAACTTACGCAGAGTCTGAAATATAAATTGATTGGAATTGCTATATGAATGTTTTTTATATATTATCTTCTTCATTTCTAAACGTAATGCGCTATCGATTGCCAACTAATTGTTCTAAAAAAGCGTGCCGAGGCAGCTGACGATCTGATCAACTCACAAAACATCGTGCAACTGTTGATAGCAGAGTTTTGAGAAAAAATGTTAAAAGATTGAAAAACAAGCAAGTCTCTCTCTTTTTCAGACTCCAATAACTTCATGCGAGCATACGTTTTAACTTTCTTACAAGAAAAACACGCTGTTTGACAAAACTTCGTATAAATGTTACCTTCTCATCGAAATCTTGTTCCATGCCGTGCATGATCTGTCCGATTTGAGTGGCCATGATATAACCTTGCTTTCCACGATCGAAAGCATCGAAGAATTTCTGGTATTCTGAAAATTTTAATAAATGAAGAGTTAATGAACTTGATGTTTCCACTAAGCTGGTGAAAAGCTATGTACTGAATCTTACCTTCAATTTGGGATCCATCGATCTCAGCAAGAATCTCTTCAATATCTTCAGCCTAAAAGAACGAAAACTTAGAATTATACCGAAATCCTGTCATCTTTTATATGTTAATTTTTTTAAGTGAATATCTCTCTGTATAAACTCTTGGAAGCTTCAGCTACTTTCTACTAACAGCAGCTGCCGAGCTTTACACACAGAAAGCGTTGTAACATAGGAAAGCTACCCATGCCAAAACATTCATTACTCCAAAAATTGAACACAATGAGTTAGAGATTATTCCTAATAACTTACAACTACGAGAGGAACTACAGTAACTATTTCCAAATATGGTCAGCTTTTTTAAATTAACGATTTTTAAAAAAAAAATTCGAGAAAATGAATCTGTCGGGTTCGAGTTATTCAGACTTTGATGAAAACACGGACAGTTATACAAAAATCCAACTCAATAAGGCCAGAGAGATGTCAAAAAAGGTTAACACAGAGGTCAATCAAGAACTCGGCGAGAAACTTCGAACAGTATATACTTCAGAGAAGCTGATACAAAAGGGTTTTTGATTTTCAATCATAATATGAATAAAATGAAAGAGCAACTAACCATGGTGTCTGCGGTGTGAACCGAGTGAAGTTAAAGCGGCTCGAGGAAGAGGCGGAGCTGGCAAAACGACACAGATGCCTGGAGGCAATTCCTGGTGTTGTGGGGGCGGTAAACGGACAGAACAGAAGATCGAGATGCTTCTTTACAACGAAACAATGCTCGTCTCCCCCTCAATCTATTCCCATAATATGAGAAAAAGTAGAGATACACTGACACATGTGTTCTCAGAAGATAGTAAAGCTGAGGAGAGTAGATACTGCTCTAAATCAGAAAGAATATTAAGACAGGAGAGCTCAGATTGATGAAAGCCGTAAGAAATATCTATAGATGATCTTTTTAGAGCATCGGCAGCAACAGCCCACACTTTGCATCGTTTCGGCATTAATGGGACTATTTGAAATAATAAGATAAACTTATCAGTTCCACTAAAACTCCACAAGGAATAAGATAATACAGAAAACATGAAACCGTATGTATGTAAATGCTATAAAGCATGCTGAGCCATGCTGTCCACCGACTGATAAATTTCGTCAAATTAGAATAACCGCTAACGTCTTCTTCTCAAACAACAGTTCATTCAGTTACTCACCACATTACAGAGAGGTTGCATTCGAGAAAATAGCATTGAAACTATTTGTAGTGGAGATCATAACAATAATACTATCCAATCTTCCGATGTGAGCTTTATCACAATTTCCTCGTTTTGTTAGCCTTGACTAAGAGCTTCTCTGTTATAAGTCTCGTATGTGTGTAAACACTGTCTCCATTATTTTGCGTATGCATGTGCGGGAAATTGCGTATAATCAGATTTATGTGTTCTCTTTGATGCTCCAGAATTATTCTTTTAGCGTTAAACTGCTTATTATTAATTTGAATTAATACATGAAAGCCATTACAGATATATCATCTAATGGAGTCGCGTCATATCAGTTTGTGAGATCCTGAATTTAGAATTTAGTTGGAATGGATGATTATCATACCAAACACTTAGTCATCGATAAACCATGCTGTAGTAATACTGGTGACAATTCTGGCCCTTCTATTCAAAATCCTATTTACAATTATTCCTTCGACGAACATGCCAAATTAACTTATCAGTATTTTCAAACAAGCAAACAAGTAATATTCAAAAATAGTGTCTATTTTAACCTGGTCAATTAGTTGAATAGGTTTTCTGATGTCTCCGTGGAATGTAGTGGAAAGTTTTTGACAAATGCCAACAGGCTAGTTTTGGCTGCGTTCAGTACTCACTTAGAGGCTGCACTAATATCAGCTCCAACTTCTTTTGTTAGTTTAGATATTGATCCAAAAGTTACAGGTAGAGTTGATACGAAAGTAATTAGCTACGAAACATAAACGGAATTCAGGTGTTGATAGAACTGAGCTTGTAGAGATAATAGATTTCATGTATTCTGGAAAATGTATAGCATCTGAAAGATTATTAAACGCTGCTCACAGTTTGGGGTGTGAATCCCTTTTACAGGTAGTGACAAAAAGATGATTCGCATTGAGTATCTTAAACTAGATTCTGAACGGCGCTGCTGAAAGTTCTGAAGTTTCCGATGATCAGCACGCTGCTAATTTTCAAAAGAATTTACAACGTTTCCGCAGGGATAACTATTTCCTCGACTGTAATGTTAACACGATTGTTAGTTTCCATTTGGGGTCGGAGTCAATACTGTTCTTACAGAATAAGGGATTAATAAGATGCCATAGAGCAGTAGTCTCTGCTCATAGTGTTCATTTTGAACGAGCATTATTAAATACTCGTCAAAATACTCAGGTCACGTTGAACATTGATTCCAATGATATGAAAGTATCCGGGTACGATCTATTACTCATTACCTTCCTTAAACATAGTGTTTTTAAGGTTAGATATAAAGAATATTATGGAATATGTTTATCTTGGGATTCTGCGAGGACAGCGACGCAGATTCCAAATGTTAAAAATATCCGCTGCTAATTTAGGAATAACAAGGCTTGTAGATATGATCAACAGTTTATTAATGTATGAAGAAGATATAATAGGACATAACGGTAAGGCTGAAACACATTCAGTCCTATTGAACATTTCAGAAGCCGATTCTCAATTTGAAGCAGAAGAGCTCATAAATTTTGATCGATCTTCTCAAGAGCGTGATGGCGTAGTCAATGAAGAAGATTATGAAGGTTGTTCTGATTGTCTGTATAAATTCACAAGAGATCATGATTCTAGAAGAATTTGATAATCTTGAAGAAGGCTTCGAATCCTCTATGGATGATTTCACGACTCAGGCCACTGAAGATTACATCTCGATTTACCAAGAGTATGTAATGGGGCCGGGAAGAGGAAGACGTGGTGGAGGCACTTATGGTTTTAACAAAAATCAACCATTATTAATTAAAGGCTCAACTGTTGTTAGCATTCGTAGGCAGTTTATCTTTCTAACTTTCTACTACATGGAATTCTAGCTGAATCAACGTCAAACGGAAGCTCTTCTGAAGTGAAGCATGTTCCTGCTGTTCTAATGACTTGCGCACCACGTGGACAGAGAAAACGGAGAATGTTTGATCAATATGGATACGGTTTGCCTGAAATTGTTGGATCGAACGATGTTGCTGTGCCATTACTTGTAGGAAACCAAAAGGTTTCATAGTTTGTATATTCATTCATCATTTTGCTACGTTAAGGAGATGATGGAACGGCCTTTTAAGTGCCCACACTGCGATCATCGCACACGCGAGAAGAGTGGAATAAGTAAGCATATAAGGTAGACCACAGTAATATGAGAGTATAAGAATGAACTTTAAAGGTGTATGCATACGGGGGAAGCTCCTTACAAATGTAGATACTGTAGTCAGTCTTTTAAAGTTCAAAGTAACTTAGTGAGACATATTCGAGCTCATACTGGTAAGAATTGTAAGTCATTAACTGTTTTTGATTATTGTCTTGCAGGAGAGAAGCCTTACGCTTGTAAAAAATGTGGAATTTCTTATGCAGACAAGAAAAATATGGATGCCCATGTATATCGAGAACATCTCAAAACCCAACCTCTTAAGTGCCATTATGCTAGCTGTGGTAAAAAGTTTTGGAGACATGATAGGTACAACTAATTAATTCAGCTGTTCAAAATAAGATGTTTAAGGTTTGCTCATCATTGTTTACATGACCATGGAGAGATACCTCAGTTGCTGGATCAGTCTTGACAGGATTAGAAGTAGACCAATGCATTTTAATAAATTTTTTTTTCTTCTTGTTTACTATGTCCCACAGTTGATTACCTGCTAGTTATCTTAACACCTTTAGGAGGAATGCTCATTCCAATTATTTGTCTTCAGATGGATGTAGATAGTTGTATAAGGAAGAACATTTCTTGGCAAAAGCTCCCGGAAGACGTCCGTACATTATTGGGAAACGCTCAAAGAGAGTATGATAAGTTGGTGTTGGAGTATTCTATCAAGAACCAATTGAGATACAGAGGGAATCTCGGTAATTCGCAGAAGACTTTTTGTTTCTACATCAGCAGTTTTTAGTCCGTCATGTGAAAAAAAACGAAGAAACATATTACGACATGGTTATGAAATATAGTGAAAGTCATTTGATGCTCTTCCCATATCATTTAGCGGATATAATCGTAAAGGAATTACGTATAACACCATTCAATTACTACACGGGGATCATCGCCGTTCGTGATTCATTCGCCAGGAAGACTTTCTCAACTTCTTTTTTCTAGGAAATGATTAATTCTGAGAAGTCCTATGATTCACTACCAAATTTCACTGCAGCAGATGCAATGAGGTTGTTAGGTATTGGCAGGAACCAATACATTGACCTGGTTAATCAGAATAGGCAACTTTAGTTCAGATGACTTAGTTCTTGATCAAAGTATTTCAGATCCAATCGCAAGTTTCTAAGGAGGAATAAGTCTATACGAGAACTGTTACCGACCAAACCAACGAAAGTAAACATGGAACCGTGGTGGATAGTATGTGTGGGAAATGTTTTGGAATCAGATATAAAAGTGAACTATCTCTGAGATAGAATGAGTCAAACATAGTCTTCGAATTTTAGGCTTTGTCGGATGATGAGAAAAGAGTTTTAGATTCTCTCTACGATCATGGTTCCAAAGCAGCTGGGTATCTTTCTGTTCCTATTATAACACAGTTATTCAACCGTGGGTTAGTCTACTTCGATGTTCCTGTTCAAGGAACGGATTACGTGTATGGTATCGTTTTCTGGTTTCCATTACATATAATTGTTTCTGTATTCTTTCAGTCGCTCCTCTGGATGGATTTGTTATGAACCGAGTGTTGGGTGATTATTTTGAAACACTATTGTATAAAGTTTTTGTTGCTATCGATGAACAAACAAGCGTTCAAGAGGTAGTTCGAGAATGATACCGACAAACCATTCTCCATTCAGATGGCCGAAATGCTACACATAGATCTACAGTTGGTGTGTACGGCAATATCTGTTTTTTGTAGACTGGGATTTGCACGAAAGCGAGTAACAGGTAAGGTTTGTGTTAATTCTTGAAAGATTCTCAAACGGAGCAGGAAACGTTCCGAGCGCTTCAGATTGAGTAAATGATGTCGTTCGAAAATTTGTAACTGACGACTGAGTATCAGAATATTTCAATGAGTCCAGTTTAAAACTTATATTTTCTCGTTAATAGGAATGGAAAACTCGCTGTCGAAACTTCATTACTCGTGGGCACTAGTAATCACATCTCCAACTTCGCCTAATCCGTTCGTCTGATTTATTATTTCTTTAATTAATGCTGAATTCTTCCAGTCCCGAAGTGTTGTCGCCATTATCCACTGACGTTGGAACTATTAATCTCATTGAGGAAATGAGCATTGAAGATGACAGCTTAGATTCTATGGAGACTAGCATGACTGGGCTGAGTTCTAAAGACATGGTAAGATATTTCATTTCGCTCACCTTTCCATATTTTTGTCAAGGTTATATCTCAACCGTCATCGGATGTGTCGTCATCCGGAGGTCGTGCCGCGTTCTTATTTGACTCTTTCTTAGCTGCTTTTCTCATGATGGGAAATTTATCCACTTCTCTGAAGGTTTTGCGAATCCATCTTACTATTTTTCTATGACTTTTTATAGGGTCATGCTGTTACTTTGTTTGAAGTTGGTAAACTAGCAGATGAACAAATGGGAGATTTTATGGAGTTACTGGAATCTGTAATAGAATTAGTTTTCTTCTTCTCAAAAATAGTTCATATTTTAGGTGAATCGTTTCGGTGAAGGAGAAGCGCAACGATATTCGGAGCACGCTGTAGCTCTTCTAGATTCTCTCCGAAGTTTGAAGAGAGGGCGAGAAGTCGATTTACTCCGTGGTGAGAGCTTGCTGTCACTTGATGCTCAAAGCAGAATGCGTGTGCTCGCAAAAGCTTACAGGTTTTCCCTAGCAATATGTTTTTTTTGAAAACAAAGAAATTTTTAGTATTATTGTGGCGATGGCTCCGCTGAGTTTCGATGCTTGCACACTACCTGTATCATCTATACCTTTCATTGGGCCACCTATTCCAGAGGTGCGTTGTCAGACACTCAAGTTGAACAAGCGGTTTCAATCGTCAGGCTTGCTCACCATGGTTCCGCTTGGCTATGGCTGTTTTGACAGGGTCAGGTCCAGCCAGTGCATATTTTCCTCGTGGTTACCGCCTCACCCAATTACCAGAACTTTTGGTTGCAAGTCCCAGGCTTCATGTGTCTTCTTCTAATCATGAGCCTCAATTATTAAGTACGCACAATGCACTGTTAGCTCTCAATGATATGTTAACGACTTCCGCGTTATTCGTACAGGTGCGTGTAGTTTGAATTTAAAACAGATGATGAGATTGTGATAGACGTATCCACCAAACTCGAAGGAAGAAGAACTTTTGTATGTACCTTTTCCTTTCTTAGAAAGTGAGAAAGATGATTCAGGTATGTTACAATTAGCTTTTGGGGTCTAAGTCATATTTTATTATTCAGATGCGTTGTCCAATCATCCTGCCATTCAAAAACTAGCAGAACGAATAGGCTTGAATTCATTATGTGGATATGTTGTTCTGTTGAGGACTAATGTCACCCCTTGTGCAGTAGAGAAAAATATCGCAGCGTTTGACGGTTCACCCAAAAAGGAGCCTGACACTGTCATCAGGTTTTTCTATGAATAGAAAGTAAGCTGAGTGTATATTTCAGATCTCTGCCTGCTGGTTGCACATTCGATGATTTCTTATTACATGATTGCATATTTGGAATTCCTCTTTTCAATTCAAAGCTGAACCATACAATTTGTGAGAGAGCTACTGCCAAAGGAATTTTGGAAGCTGACAAGTGAGTCTAAAAAGAAAATGAAATAAGCTCTTGATGACGCATGATCGCTAGTAGTATAGAACTTGCATGTTGATTGTGTTAATAGGCTATTCGAATTCATTAATACTTAATATCTGCATCATACTAATGTTATAATCGCCTATTACTATGATCTAATGACGAGAAAACTTCCGTTAATTACAATTTCCTCGGCTTACGAAATGTTTTTCACAGAAAAAATAACAGTTCTGTCAATCAAATCAATATTTCAGTCGTACCAATATCCAGTTTGCAAACAAAGCTGTAGTAGAGCTCATAGAGGATATGTTGACGAACTACAATTTTGGAATAGTTGATGTGAGTCCGCCTACTTCTCTATTCTCTTCCGTCTCTCTCTCCTGTCTCTGAAGTTCTTTTTTGATCTCTTGGCGTTTGAGTTCATTAATCTTATTCTATATTAATTTGCATATTGCAATTTTTATCAATTATTACTTTTCAGAGTGGTTTCAGTGAGGTTGAACCTCGAAAAATAGAAGTTGTGCCCCCGGTGCAGCTAATCAGATACGACCCCGTGACGAAAGCGATTGTCATCTAATCGCAGATGGTCCTGTTATTTTTATCCACGTTGCAATACTCACCCATATTATCTGTTCTTTATTGTTCCTGTAATCATAGTCAGTATTTTACACTTCCTTGAGAACTATTTCACTATTGGATGGCAGTACATTCCCTCCTATTATCCTTCTAATTGCTTTTTCGGTAATTACTGTTACCAATTATGTCCATTCCGTTCGATTTCATTAGCGCTGCTTGGAGTTCGTCATTAATTTAAATTTTTTTTAGTCATTTACTCTTACATCCACACTCTGAGTTTTCACTTCCTGTACATGCCGCAGATTTTCTGCCTTTTACTTTCGTTTCCTTGTCCATCTTCTATGTCCAGTCGTTTTGTAGCATCGTCCTCATTTGACCTTGTGGGTAATGGGAAATATCGTTCAACTGAAGTTAGTCAATAGTTTGTTCACTTTAATCCTTTACCTCTCTAGTCAGACATTCTATGACGATATTAAGCTTCTTGTAAGAACTTTCCAGTACAAACATCCGTTGTACGCATAAACTTATTCCAAGTTTTAATTGGGTTATCCTGGGTAATATATTATAGAAGAGGTCTTATTGTTGCTTTGTGCGTGTTAAAACACTTTGAGTAATCGATTCTACCTTGTCTTGTGCGGACCATTCGTTAACACAGTATATTTTTGTAAGGAACTAGTCGTTGTCATACATTTCGAAGATGTCTACGCTTTAATTATTCTTTTTCCCTCGAGCACCACAAATCATAAAGTTTTTTTTCTTTTTTCTTCCTGTCATCAACATTGACCACTCGTATGGCCTATTCTATTCATTGCCGTTTATTGAAAATTTTTTTTGCAAAAAAATACTCCTCAAAATTCAACTATTACGAATCCTCATGGACTTCTTTTGAAAACCAGCTGAATACTTGACAGTCACAAGTGAAGTGATTTTTTGAGCCCTCAAGAAAATTCATCTTTTTTTATCTACCAATTCCTTTCCTACGGAAAGGGTTAAGCTAAGGGGTGAAGTGAGTCTTGAGAAGATTAATGATGGCGATCCTGTCATGGGAAAGCGATCAGTTTTTTTAAAGTTCAGAATATTCCGTATTGCATCTTCCGAAAACACTCATTATTCAATAAAATGTTTGTCGTTGTAAGATGCAATTGATTGATATTGAATTTCCACGTCTTACGTGAGTTTCACGTTGCCAACGGAAAAAAATTTATTTTTGTTCGCGTAGAAGCTGAAAGCGGTTGTTTTTTTGTCGTTCCTTCTCTCATATTCATTATAACTTTGCGAAAGTTCGAAATTCACAAATTGAGTTTTCGTTATGCTGCGAAGGTACTTGAAAACTATCCGAAATTTGGAACTTCAGAAAATTCTATTTCGGTTTTTTTCTTGAAAAAGTTTTAATTTAAAAGCTTCTAGAATTCTTGAGGTTTGACGGTTTCTTTTCCTACTGGTTCTTATCCATTTCTGAAGAGCAGGCAAAGCTGAAGAACAACAGTAGCCGGCAGAAGAGGGTTTGAAGTGTGTCCTCCAACATGGCAGCATCATTCTGACTCTTTTTGAATGTTCTTTCTATTGTAGTCTTCGATTATCCACGAATATGCTCTTTTTTGCTTGTTCTAGTAACTCATATTTTACTGAAATTAAAAAGAAGATTGAAAAGGACGAGTTCTAAGAAGAACATTCGATTGGAGTAAATCCGTTTTCCGGCATGGAGTTCTTTGAATGGTCAAACTATTTGCATCTGATTACTCTATTAGAGTAAAAGGACAAAATATGCAAATGTTACTAACGAATTGACTTTCTTTTTGCTTTTTATATTGTAAAAAACCAATTTGTTATACTCTTATTGAGATCAAACTACGTTCTTTTCAGATCGATGAGGGTATCAACTTCATTGGATAAAGGTAACATATCTTTTTCCATTATCAAACTATAAAATCAGTATAGATCTGCTTTAAACCCTTTATTCTATGTTATCCTTCTTATCGTGTCCATTTCCATCAAACTTGCCATGTTTGTTGCCAGTTTGACCTTTTCTTATTTTGTTTTTCAACTTTTTTTTTTCTTCGAAATATTTCACAAATATCGTTATCTTTCGTCTAAGCTATTAGATTTAGTGAACGTTGCCTATAGATTATTGAAGAAAAACATTGTTATTTACGATTGTGTTTCCTGGAAGGAAGAAAAAAGAAATTTTTTTCTCTTCTTGTCTGTATGACAAGTACTTTAAAAAAATTTCTTTTCTTCACTTCATGTCATATGATGATGAGGACAGATGAGTAGAAGCGTTCTATTACTATAAGCTATAATATTGATGGAATCAGAGAAAGATTTAAATGGCTAAAGTGATCTTGAAAAGAAATGGAGGCGAAGTAACGGAAGAATCTTCCTTCTGAACTCGCTGATTAGACTAGTGGCTAACTGACTGATTCACAAGAGAACTCTCGCTCTCTTTCTTTTCCTTGTTCATCTTCATAGCTTTCGTTATCTATTTTCCTCTTTTAGTATTGTCTGTATGCGAAGTACTTATGTCCCTGTTTCCATTATGGCTATTACGGATATTTCTCCTTAAACTAATCGCCAATTAGAATGCCCTTAGGTCGTCTGATAATGGGCAGAAGCAGGCAAAAGACAATAAACTTGAGAGTTGATTGTTTAGATTTAATTTATATCCTAATTCATTCAGAAACATGTTTAGGAACTATGCTGTTCCTCTGTATTTTTTTTTGCTCAAAAAATGTTTTCTTCTAAACCATTTTTCCTTTTTTTTCTTCTTCTTCATCTGCTTCTTCATTCAAATAAGGAGATAGAAACATGAATTGAGCAAAGCTCACAACTTGTAAGAAGTTTTCATCTTTGTTTGGAAACATTCTTTTCTTCTGCTTCTTCCCCTTCTCTTCCATCAAATTTTGATTATTATGAAGCTTCAAATAAGCTTTTCTCGATGATTTAATTGATTTAATTGTAATTTCTGTCACGAACATTTAAGAAATGCTTTCAACCAAAATTTTTATAGATATGCCCTTATTCAGTTTCTTCTGAACTCTTATACCCTCTTTCTCACACACTCTCTCTCTTTCCCTCTCTCTCCCTCCCTTCTTCTTATTCGTCTTCTCTGTAAAGCTTATAAAGACAAAGAGAGAGAAGCATTCCCAACAATCTAATATTTCCATTTATAAACGAATTGCTTGCAAATTTCAGCCTTTTTTGGTGATTAAGTTGATGTCGTTCAAATCTATAAATGACTAAAACATATCATTAATTTGTATAAATTAATAGAAATTCTCATCATGAAATGGAATTCGTATGTCCATAGATGGATGCATGGGTCTGTGTGTGTGTGTGTGTTTAAAAGAATTAGATTTATATCAGAAGATTTCGCTTTGTATATATAATATGTTATTTCTTTGCTATAATTTGTTATAATCCATGCCAAACAATAAGCCCAAAAAATGCAAGAGAGAAGACGAAAGATGAAAAACTCATTGAAAACTTCGTCGTTTTCTTATTTTCAAAAAAAAAAGAAGAGAACTTAGTCAACTTATTATGCTATTAGCATAGGAAAGAGATGCTTTTTAAATGCTTTTCCTTCTTTTTGGCTTTTAGCTTCATGAAATCCGTGGGAACGACCACCAATCGACTATCCATTCCGTCCTCCCCTTCCACCATCATTCCATCCCACTCATTCTCCCCTTTTTCGTCTCATTTTACAATTGTTCTTCTATGAGAGCCTAAATCTCTGTAATAACCTTATTTCGATCGTTTGTTAAGCTTTTCATGGCAAAAAAACTGTGACATTATCTGCAATCTATCTGTCATTGCGGCTTTTTTCATGTTGTAAGCCCACAGAGCCTTGCTTTTTAAGGTATTTCTTCTTAAGACCTTATTTTTCTGCGAAAGTATTCACAACAAATTCATACCGTGACGAAAACTAAATAAGAAAGCTCTAGGGTATATGGATAATATGCATACCGATAGCAAAAGCAAAGGAAGGAGTAGTTGTGAGAAAGGCTCACTATCTCTCCCTCTCTCTTTTTTTCCACCATCCTCTCTCACTTTCTTCCCTTCTTTCCTTCATATTCTAAATTTCTTGGTTTAGGAAGAGGACTGGTGTCTCAGAAATAACTCAATTTGTCAATGCATTCAGTCTTTCTAACGTTCTCTGTGCTCTCCGCCTTCTCGCAAAAAGGACGAGTCTCCCTCACCCCGACTACCGACTGCAACACCCTATCTTTATTTGGAAATCCGGCTATCTGTTCAGTTTGAAAAACAATACAATCTTGACACTTTCCGGAGACTTCTGTGACTTCAGCCAATGGATTATGCTGGACTTATGAAGCTTTTCTTCACATCTCATACATTTGTCAAATCAGATGATGTTTCCTTCTTAACTCAAATGAATTCGTTAATATATTTTCTTTTGTTATTTCATCTGTTTCTTCTTTTCATATGATTTCTGACGTTTTGTGTTCATCCATCTGACTCATTATCACAAAAATATTCATACACATCCTCGAAGAACTAACTTCCTTTGAACTTCTGATTGAAAAACAAGAAAAAATGAGAAAAAAACTTGTCACAAATCTCCTCCTCTCATGCTGTTTCATCCGTTTCCATTCCAATCTGAACAACATCAAATTGACAGCTTCTTTGAGTTCTCAACATATTTCCTTCTTCATCTTATTTTTATTTTACACACTTTTTCTTGCAGTTTCCGAGCTTTGATTAAGATATCAGCTGATTATCCTCTAATTGGTGGTTTTAATGGATTACGGTAGGGTTGTTGGATGATTTACGTAAAAAACGCGAAAACAAACTAATCTTATTGTCTTCACCTCATGTTTATACCGTTTCTCGGAAAAAAAGAATTTAACTTTTGAAATACTATGAACCAGTGTGAATCTGTTTGTCTTTTGTTCCAACAGTTGATTATCCACTTCTTCGATTATTGAATGGCAGAGGGGGAATGAAGATTCGAATGAAGTTACTCAGAGAACTCATAATAGTCTAGCTTCTTGTGTTTCTTCGTCTCCCTTCTATCTCCTTGATGACATTAACAAATGAACAACAAAACGCTTTTTCTGCTCTGTTTTCTCTCATCACCCATTTCCCCCCATACTTGTCTAACTTCTCCAACTCTCCTTGAGTTTGATAACAACGAAATCAACAATAACATTTAATAAAGCATTCATAATTACATGAGGACAATCCGTTCGATTCATGCTTTACGTGAATATTCGAATCTCTTGAGAGTCTTATCTGATTTTTGGCTGGCAACCATTGACTTCATCGTCTGCCAAGTTGATGGCAGTCTTCGAAGCCAATTGTGATTCATGACTGCTCTCCAACGGCATCTGACTCACATATCCCTGGAGACAGTGCACGTCCTTTTCTACAGAAAATATTCTTTGCTTCTTCCATTTGGAAAAAAAAAAATTTAAACCCAGAATTTTCGAACTCAGTTCTGTTGTTAAGACGATGATGTAATGATCAGCACGTAACTAATGATAAACATTATCCGCACTTCAGCTCATTTATCAATCGATCTAATGATCTATGATGATTGAGACGAAGAAAGCTTCTTCTATCATATTTTTATTCAATATATTACGTTAAAAGTATACTTCATGTTGAGTAAAGGGCAATTTGTAGTTTGGTATGATTCTCTCCCCTCGCTCTCTCTTGGAAACTCAATTTCCTTACGTCGTCTATATAGTTGAAAGATGATGAAAAGATTATATTACATCTATATATTCTGACATTTTATTCTTTCCTTATATTTCTCGTCATTTTCTATTTTTTAAAAGCATGATTTTCCATTAGATGTCATTCGTTTAATAACACTCGACCCCCAATCTCATTTGCATACCCACGTCAATCCTACGTAAGCCTCACGCGTGCATAAAACTTCATTTTTGAATTGAACCGGTTGTTATTGTTGTGTTTCTCAACGTCTTTGCTCCCGCAACGAAAACGAAATTCTTTTTTTTCAGTATTCATGGACTCGACGGTTTCGTCGTGGTCAGATGAACTCGAAAAAGATTTCGATAAAGCGTTCGTGTCACTTGATCTACTACTTGGTGAGATAGACAGTGATCAGGTATATTGTTAGTTAGTATTTGGAGAAGTCGTATGAGTCTGTTCAGGTTGAAATAACATATGAAGGTCGTCAAAAGATGACAGCCTTAAGTGCCTGCTTTGCTCAACTTATCCACAAAGCTCATACAATGCAACATACAATTACGAAACAAGACAAAGTGAGTTGATTTTTCAATGTTTTTCTTTGCATTAAGAAACGCATCTCCTGTATTTTTTGTTTTATTCATCTATTATTTGTCGTTGAAGTTTTCAAAAATCTAGAAAAATAATGTTTGCTTTTCTTCTGTTGTTATGAGTAACTCTAAGATATTAATAATGTTTATTGAAGGAAATCGTTCAATTACGAGAATCATTAGCTCAAGCGAACGCAGGAGCGAGAGCATTGGAGAAAGAAGCTCAACAGCTCATGTTACAAGTTGATTATATTTATCTATTGGTTTGACTCACACTTATTCAGGTGCATTCCTTACAGTGTCAGCTTCATTCGAAGACAGCTCCCCATGAATCAGACATGATTAAGAAGAAATTAGTAACTATTTTTGATATATTAGTAATTAAAATTATTTCTTCACAGGAAGGAGAAATTTTATCGTTTCGGGCGGAACTCATACCATCATTGCTTGCTGATTGTGAAAGAGAAGAGTTACGAAAAGAAAATGAACGACACAAACGTCTCATATCAGCTCTCGAAACTGAAGTTTTTGGTGCTCGTTTGGCAGCTAAGTACCTTGACAAAGTATTTTAATGCTCTTTGTATGTGATTGAAATGTTATCTTTAGGAGTTAGCCGGAAGAATACAACAAATACAATTGCTTGGCAGGAATATGAGGGGCGTGGAGCATGACCGCTTATGGAATCAGTTAGAAGCGGAAATTCATCTTCATCGCCATAAAACTGTTATAAGAGCTTGCCGGTAATCGTTAATATCAGAAATTATCTAATTCATTTGTAGGGGTCGAGGAAATACCAAAGGCTTGGCAGTGCCGCCCCGTCACGATACTAGAAATCTGCGACGGCGAAAAGGTGTGGGTGAAACAAGACAGGTTCATTTACCAAAACTGCCACACGAAGGACTAGGCATATCCATAACAGTAATAAAACTATTGATTGCTTCTTGTCTAATAATCATTTACAGGGTGGAACAGAACATGCTTTACCTATAGTAATATCTGAAATTCAACCTGGGCAACCTGCTGATCGATGTGCTCAACTATTTGTGAGTTACTTCTTTATGTCAATCAATCTTACACCTTCTCTTCCAGGTTGGGGATGCTATTCTGTCAGTTAACGGGTTTGACTTGAGACAAGCACGACATCAGGAAGCTGTTGATATTTTGAGTAGTCAGGTGAGTACAGTTTAAAATAATTACGACAGAGTTTGCTTTACAGCAAGGGGACCTTAATTTGGAGGTTGTATACGTGGCTCCTGATGAAGATTCTGACGATGATGGAACTGTTATGATAGCTGATAGTAGTGGCTGTCTGTATGTTTCACATTTGGTTTAAATTTTATTAAAGGAAACTATTATAGATATAATATGTATAATAATGGAATAAATGAGGAGCCATCTTCCAGCAGGTCATCAACAGTCTCTCAACATAATTCTGAAGCTGGTAGCTCTGATATGAAAGCTTAATAACTCATAGACTGTATATTGACAACCATATTTTTTTTTAACAAGCATCTTGACATCGTGATTTCAATTTCAATTTTTTTGTCTATCCACTTTTTCTTTTAATTAGGTGTCCTTCGTTCTCACGGGTATCTGACTCAGTTTCTTGCTCATCGCATAACTTGTTCAACAGTTTCACCAATATTTTACTGATTTTCAAAAACCAAATTTTAGTTGTTTGTATACTGATAGTAAATAGTTTTATTAGATTCAGCTCCTGAGCTGAGTCGTTATGTCGAAGACGTGTAACTCATTGTGTACAAGACTCTAATTGGTCATAAATTTTTATCAAAGCTCAGTTTATTTTATCAATCTCTCAACAACATTTAAAAAGATTCAGTGCCGATATACGGAAGCGATCTTTTTGTGACGTATACAAGTTTATGGTCAGTTAATGATGTTACGTTGTAAATTAATGGTCTTTCCTACCTTTGTCCCTATTCCGTTTGGAGGCATTCATGCGTGGGTCGAGTAATAACCTGTCTGTCAAAAATAAGTCATGAAAGAAATGACTACTGTCTATGTGGTTTATCAGTGAGCACGCGTCGAGCACACAATCAGTAGAAGGGCAAAGATTTCAAAAATCTATCAAGCCATAAAACAGCCCTTCACTTTGTACCCGTCAAATTCTACAGAGAAATGTATACGATTATATAAGGATCACTATGCTACTAGTGAAAAAATTTTTGAAAAGATGTTTGCAGTATGATAAAAAGCTTAAAATGATAATTTTCAGAACCATCTAAACTATGGGGACAATACGTTCAAGTCAGTACGGTTTGAAGCACGGACCATTGCGAATTTAAAGTTACATAAGTTACATATTTATTCTCGATTATCGTGGACGAGGGATCGGTTGTGTTTATGACGTTAAGCTACGGAACGGTTGCTTACTTAAGGATTATAATTGTTCTCTTGGACCTTTTTTTTATTTTGAATCCACAACATGGTAGGTCTCATGCTATATTTTCAAGAGATTATGTTGTGTTTCAGAAGGGGTGCTTATTGGTTTTGAATATTATTGCGAATAACTATATCAGCAGGTTAGTGTTTATTCATATCGTAACTTCATTAATCATTCTGTTCTTGTTTTTTTCCTGCTATTAACTTTTCTGCAAAATGAAAGTCTATGGGTACATTGTGCTATCACAACGTTTCTGAGAATACTGTATAGCGTTTTGAGCTAGTGATGTCATGTTCATTTTGATCCATTACGTTTTCTCACTCTTGTTGCAATCCTCGATGTATTTGATTTCATGCTCCATCATTCGATTATTGCTTATCTTTACCATCTCTTTCGCTCTATCTCTCTTCCTGAACAGAATGGTTTTTATTTACATGACAAATTGTCGCGCCTTGAGTATTGCCTCGCTTTACTTATGTCTAGATTACAAGGCAAATCTTTAGATCCTCTTTTCTTTGAACTGAGCTGCTAAGTATTGATGCATTCCATACGTATCTCTTCAATATACTTATCAGGTCACCTATGATTTAATCTTGATTTGTTGAATTGTTTCGTATTCTTCAGTAATGCCAATGAAGTACATATATAAATATTTGATATTTATTTGTAGAATACAGAGAAGTGATTAACTTATTTTGATCTAGTTCTTGCCAAACTCGCACGAGTTCCATTCCCCCCCCCCTCCTCCTTTTCCGCATTCACTTTGATTATTCATCGCCTGTATGGATTTTGAAGTGAATGAAAATATATTTTGTGCTATAAAATATAATAAGGTTTATTTTGTTTTTGTTTGATTTCAAATAGAGAATCATTGTTTTATGTCTTCCGACGTGTGCTCTTCGTTCAAATTGTTCATCGGTGTTTCAACATAATGTTTCTTTATTTTATTTATTTCCTTTGTATTCGACGTACTTTTCTCTCTCTGTCATCATTCTTCTCCGTTTCATATATTATTTCCTAACAATATGAATTATTAATTCAATATCTTGAAATTTTTTCAGGAACATTAAGTTCACTATTACAAGAGGATAGATTATTACGCCAGTTAGTACATGACCCAATTTCCTTTAGTTTATGTGAGTTTATTTTTTTAATTTTTTCTATTTTTTATTTTTCAATCATACATATAGAAGACTGTCTACAGGTTTTGAATATTTGAGAAGTTGACGTTGTTAATTACATGTTTTCTTATAATTCTTTAATCAACAATTGCCACACGTTCCAGTTTCATTCATTTTCCACCTTAACAGTACCAGTATCATGTACTTTCCTACTTCATATAGTTGTTATTTGAAAAAGTCATATGCTTCCTAATCAATGATCATTCTGAAAGTGTCTTAATTAGGTTTGTCACATCTTCAAATCACAAGTTGACATTTCAAGAGATGTTTGGTGCAGTTTTACCATAATATATTCAGGTTGTCGAACAGGGCCTTGAACGTTAGAACTCGCCCCATTACACATTTTGAGATCAAATTCTTCGAAAGAAACCAATTCTGGGCTTCTCCATCCATTCTAACACAGAGGAAGCATTCATATCTCAAGTACTCCTGTTAGAGTTTACTTCGTGATGTGCGATAATATATCGGTTATCGTCAGTTTTTTCTTGGTCTTTCTCAAATACCAAACTTTCCGAATGCTACCTAGTGCCAGACAATGGAAGTGATTCAATGGTTTTGATTACTTTCCCGAGTCTTTTAGTCAATGCTGTTCTTTACGGATTGTGACTCTTTGATACAAGATTTCCTTTCATTATTGGTCACGCCTTGCTGTTGTGGAAACTTAGAAAAATCGGTAAGGGTCGGGTATTTCTTGTTTCTTCTTGTGGGTGTATGTGTTGCTTGCAATCTTTCTTTTCTCGCACTTTTGTCTCCTTTCATGGTCACTTCTCCTCAGATCGATCTCTTTAAAGAGTCAGCGGAAAGTTGTGCCGTAAAGTTTAGTTGACAGAAATAATATTGGCTAAATTAAGAATCTCTACCATGCTATTGATATTCCTTTCGAATATTCAATATGTCGCTATTGATTGGGTTGATGGTCATGATCCAGTTATCGTGCAATACGTTTCTCGCTTTGGTAGTTATGTGTTCCAATCTTGCGCGATAGCTGGATTATCAGAAGTTGTTTTACTTCCTTCTTTCTGCTCTCTCTCTCTGTTTGTGATGTTTGTATACTTGGACTAATATGAATCGCGGTACGACTTCTTGTCTCCAAGTCTTAAAAACACTCCAACCTGTGCATAGTGGGGTTGGCTCTCGCTGGATCCAGTTCTGTATCCTTTTTATCGAGCTCCTGCTGTAACATCACGTACATGTGTTCCTTTCCCATTTAGCATATGAGATTATCTATTTATTATCTATAACTTTCCTAGTCAAATTCACATTGTAATTCAGCTTTGGAATGCTTCTCTCTCTCTCTCTTTCCATCTCTCTCATTCCCTACGCCCTTTCTCATGTGTTTTGTAGTACACTAGACAGTTTGGCATTTCTTATATCATTGCTGTTGGTACATCATTCGTTTTCTCGACACCTTCTCACGTCACAAAAAAAGTATTAGTTATCGTTCATCGCCTTTCTTCGTTCGATGCTAAGAATAATAGTTTCTTGGTTTTTTTTCTCATCTTTAATGTTCCCTTCGAAGTTTTGTTCATTGACAAAAGTATATCAGGAATATTCATATTTCTGCTCTGTTCTGCCCTTCTTCCTGCCTAAGAGGGTATTAGAGAACTTCACCGTTTTATTGTCATTATTATCAGAAAACTGTCATCTTCTCAATCGTAGACTGTTCCTCTCATATGGGTTGACTCGAAGTACTATCTTTCATTATTGATTTGTTGCAGAAGATGGGAGGTAGCCCCAGTCGGCCTGAAAACTGCAAACACGGCTGTTGGTCTTTCAGAACTAGGTATGTCTCCTAAAATGAACATTTTTATTTTCTGTTTCTTGTTCTCGTTGTTAACTTACTTCATTTCTACTTATTTCACGTTCGTTGTCGACTGTTACTTGGGCTTTTTTTTCAGAATTGACAACGATGACTCGTATGTGAAGAAGGGAGTGGGAAAACGACCTAAGCGATTGAAAAAGCTTAGGTATGTCTAGCCGTTTTCAACAACGTATAAATTCATTCAAAAAACTTTTTTGTGGGAGATCGAAATTGTTCTTCAAAAAATGCCATTGATCTGTTCTTATCAGACCATGAACAATTGTTTCCCATACTTTTGTGGCAGTTAAATTTCAATTTGTAGTGGGAAAGTCCATTATATGAAAAAAAAAATGTTTTAAGGCTGGAATTAGATTCCGCAAATGGTCAGAGGTGGAATGATATACCTACTCCCAGCATATGTGAAGGTCCTGAATACGATTTGCCACCTCAGCCTCCAACGCAGGAAAAACTATTGCAGGTGGGAGTCTCGCACTTTGACTAATGCTATTCACGTTTTTTTTGTTCGCTGAATAAGTATAGTCCAACATTTTTATAAAAGGTCTAATTAGACATAAAGAGTGAAAAAATTTTTTTGCATATCTCATACTATTTGTTTTTCAGATGATCCATTGTTTTCCTTTTCCCACTCCCCGCAACACTCCGCAAGCATCTCCTAAACTAAACTGCAAAAATGGAGATGAAACACTTCAAATTGACGAAAGTCATCCACGAACAGATTCGAATGCCTTCAATTCAGCATTTGAGAAACTTGTACAGGTCAGTAACTTACCTTCTTTCATAATTTGTGAGCATAACTGTGGTAAACTAGTAGTCAGCAGGAGACTGGAATGATTGAACTTTTGCACACTGTCTTGACTACTACTGGAATTCTTGTTCAGTTTGATCTCTTTTCCATTCACCCCCTAGAACACTAGATTCTATGATATTGAATTGAAACGTTAGCTATTAGTTCTCAATTTCCTGTCTCAGTACCCTATCTTGAACTGTTTCCCATTCTATACAAAAGGCTTCTGTAACTTAGAAAAGTGACTTATCGCTTGAGCTGTTATCACTTTTCTTGGGTTACCCAGTTCGTGACGTCAATACTTTAATTTACCGTTTATTAAACGACTCCTTTCCTCTATTCCTGTGTAATATTTTCAAAATCAGCTCGTTTCAAATCTGTGCGTTCTCCCTTCCGTAGTGATGAATATGCATTCGTTGGTCTGCACTTAGTATCTGAAGAATTTACAAATGTATTTTGGAGGTGTTTGAAAAGATTAATCCCCCCTTTGGACCCTTAAAAAGCTCATCAACATGCTAGGTGTTTTAGCTCGATTCATCTATTGTCTTCGCATTATCGTAAACATCGATGTTTATCATTCAACTTGACAGGACTCTTGCAACTTTCCATCAAATTTCTCGAATTCTCCTTCCCACATAACATACGTCAGTTCTATCGTTTATGGTTAACGAATAAGCTTCTCTTTCTCTCTCAAACAGAAATTCTGATGACAATTAGTCACGAGGAACAACATTTGTGTGTAATCTTGTTTTAAATCCATAACTTTCTCAATTTATGTGTTTTAATAGGATTAAGTAAGCTATGATATCATCTCAATTTCAAATTTCAAAAAGTCATTGTAAAGCTTGTCATGTTGTTCTTCAATGTGACATTCCGGTCACATGCTATGGCTTCACCTCATGTGCCATTTTGGTCTCTTTTTTCGCGAATACAGTTCAAAAGAACATTGAAGAGCAGCTAATCTGATTAAGTGAATTATCTTTTTTTCCAAACATTCTCACGATTATCGCTTTTCACTCTCTTCCGTTGTTGCTTTTTTCTCAAAATTTATGCCGGTAGTTAGCGCGTAAGATAAGTTCTACTCCAAGGTTGCTGTTTAATTTGTCATTTGTTTGTGAGGAGTTAATTCGCCCAGTTCTTGTTTTTTTGAAGTCCTTCCGGTCCTTGTCGTGAATCATTTTCTTCTTTCTCTCTTGACTTATGGCCAAAAATATTTCTTTAACTATGCTCCCAACAGTTCGGCGATTGTTTCCTTTAAAAATCGATAAGGTCTAGTTGTGTGTGTGTATAGGAAACGTTGACAGAGGGAGTCTTGCGTCCTCACCAAACGAAATTGCCCCGATTCATATCGAAAACTTTGCGACGTCTTGAACATAGCTTACATTTAGTTTTCTTTTCATGCCGTATTTTCTCTCCCAACTTTCCCATTTCTACAGGCTTCTTGTGGTGCGTGATGTGCGTTATCTGAGTTTTGTGTTTGCATTACAATGGTGTACCACTATCAGTACTTTTCCCTCTTTTTCTCTTTTTCTATCATCGAACAGCTTCATTTTCTTTTTGGTCGTCTCTCGGCTCATACTGACATTTCTATTGTGACCTTTTCGATCGTCAATCCTGTCGTCTACATTTTTACCTCGTCTAGCCAAAATTCGATCCTTCGATATGGCCGCTATTGAGCCGCGGATCACCCACTCTCCGTCAACTTCATCTGCGACTTTATTGAGAGGGAATTCTGCTGGTGGTCCACCCATCTCGTACTTTTCTCGATTGAATGAACCTTTGGACTTTCAACTTCAACACAATCATGATCATCGTAGATACCGGGAGGCTTCTTTCCAATTAGGCAAACGCCTTCTTGGGTTAGGACAACGTTCTTATTCATGCTGTGACGATGTAAGTTAATAAAAGACTTTTATTATTTTTCTCTCATTTTCTATTTATAATGCATCTATTATCATTCCTTTTATTGTTTATGACGTATCTACGTGAGAATATCAATATGTCTTCTGCTATCCAGAATGAGAATTGTAAAATCGAAAAATTGACTTGATAGCTGACCCATTGAATTTAAACTCCTTTAACCTTTATCTTCACAGAACAATCTTTGAGGGGAGTGAGTGAGTCGACCAATCCTTCTTAGGGTGTGACGTGAACGCCCGCAAACACCCATATGATGCCATTTAATCCGATTTCACCGTAATCATGATCCAAAATTACCATTGATTTCCGTCAACCCTCACATATGTTCCCGTAAATTAAAGACTCGATGCTCCCAGTTCGGGTGTTCTTCCTGACACATTCCTGGCCATCTTGTTCGGCCCAATATGTAAATTCCAATGGATGAAATATCACCACATCCGAAGCTCTAGCCACAAATATTTCATTGTGCGAATCTTGATTGGGCGATGAGATTGAGAATTCCGCTTATCTCTCTTTCTCTCTCACTCTCTCTCTACTTTTATCCTGCTATGTTTTATCTCAATAAGCTGATTAATTTTTCCAACAATGATAATTTTTGCTTTTATAACATAGTGTTGAAGATAGAGGGAGCGCTAAACAAGATGAATAGACAAGTGTTACTTTTAGTCTACATTCTAAAAATCGAAAATTTGGATTGATCTTCCAAAAATTGATTTTCTATCTCTCTCACATTTCGCCGAGAGTGTGGGAAAACGATAAAAAAAACAGAAAAAATCATGCTTATGTCATCGTCATGATCTTTTTTTTCAGGTTTCTGTAGAAACCATGGCCATCACAGCGTTACCGATGGATATTTGGTTGAAAGAAAGACTGAAGAAATGGGTTCAATTGTCTGGTCATGAGGGTAAGCGAAGCTACTTATGAAGAATATCTTATCTAAAAAACTGTTCTTGTGGGTTCTTATTAGTTCATATACATTTCCGCGTGATCCATTGATTTGTCTGTCCTAGTAATCAGTTGAAAATGTGTTATCAAAGCGAATTTTCATCAGATTAATTCAGGCGGCAACACGTTTTTTACCTTCACAAAGTGCTCAAAACTACGAACAGTCTTGTAAAAATTGTATTAAAGGGATGTTCTTCCAGGAAGTATTGTACCTGCATCTTGTCAAACACTTTATAAGAAACAAAATGGCAATTGTAATGAAGCTCGTGCATACGAGGGAATCATGAAAGATCCTGTGTTGGCTGGCTTCACTCCTCGGTATTATAGAGAGTTACAGAAAAACGAAGAATGTAAGCTTTTTTTCATCGGAATTATATGTTTATTTCTTTTTTATTACAGCTTTCATAGAAATCGAAGACCTCTTGCAACAATTCGCCGATCCCACCAATGTGAATATCATGGACATTAAAATTGGAACGAGGTAAATCAGCTTTGCTCGAATGATCCTATGAATTTTTCTCAGAACATTTTTGGAATCGGAAGTGTCGAACACGAAACGAAGAGCGGATTTGTATGAAAAAATGGTTACTATCGATCCTAACGAGCCTACTGAAGAGGAACGACAAAGGAAAGAAATAACCAAACTGCGATACATGCAATTCCGAGAGCGAGAAAGTAGTTCTGCTAAATTAGGATTCAGAATTGAGGCTGCCAAGGTATTTCCTAATGAGCATGAGGTTGTCTAAGACAATTCTCTTAGATGCCTGGAGGAACGTTACAAAAGAACTTCAAGAAAGTCAAGACCGCTGATGATGTCACAGCTACTCTTTTAGCTTTCTTCGGATCCAACCCACAGGCTGTCCACAGTCAATTGATGAAAAGAATTCTTGCTATGAGAGATGCTGTAGAGAAGAGTAGTTTTTTTGCTACTCATGAGGTATATTGTTTGTTTAAATTGTTTAAAAATACTTCAATTTTGCAGGTTGTGGGTAGCAGTATGTTAATAGTTCATGACGAAGAGAAAGTTGGCTGCTGGATGATAGACTTCGCCAAGTCTCATTCCGTGGATAGTGGCCGAAAGATGAATCACAGAAGTTCCTGGAAACCGGGAAACAACGAGGACGGGTATTTGTTTGGTGTTGACAACCTTGTAGCTGTATGTTATCATTTCTTTGCTCACATCTAATTCTATTTTCTTTTCAGATTCTTGAGAAAATATCATTTAACAATAGTGAAAATGAAGTTAGGAGGTGACGAAATATTAATGGAACTTCTATACTCAGCTCATATGGCTAGCTATTTGTACAATTCATCTCGATGTATCAGCCTCATTCTTGTCATAATGTCCACTCAATACTATCATTCCTCAGATGTTACATACATTCTTCATCACACTTGATCAACACATTGCTCAAATACCATTGGCGTTTACATTTCAGCATAATACAGTCCGTTTTCCATGGGTATCTTCGTCTTCTACATCATTGTTTCTATAGAACTTGTGCTTTCATTTTAAAGTTTCCTGGTTTCAATAGTGGATCCGTTCCATGCTAATCCATTTTTCATTTCCGGGTTTAGAAAAACATTTTTCTTTTCTTTTTTTTTACAATTGTCCTATGGAGTTCTACTTAACGAATGAAAATAATAAGATTTACTTTGTTCGCTCGGTGCAAATTTGTTTCCAAAATAGGTTCTTATCATGAGTGATGATTTCATATATTGGTTTGGAAGAGAGCTTGAAGATATTCTATAGACACTAATAATAAAAATTTCTATTTCACTTATTTTCATAAACTTTGATGGATAAGTTACTCACCGTTTCTTGACAGATACCTCTTTAAAGGAAAGGAAAGTAGTTGAGCGCTTGCTGTTTACCTTAAACTACTTGTAAAACATTTGAAAGCTTTACTGATCGAAGTTTATGTTGTTTTTCATACTTTATCATGATTATAATTCTCTTTGGCTTCGAATGTTTTTACTTATTTACTAAGAAATCATAATACTTTAGTATTATAAACGTAACGTTACATTCCCCTTTTCCATTAAAAACAATCGTCTACTGTAAAGCACATACGATCAGCAACACGTGATTGCATATGCAGATACAACCGCTCTCTTCGAATGCAACGTTTAAAATGAATGCCGCCTAGTTCGTTTCAAGTTTGAGGACCTCGTACTGATAAACGTGAGCACGATCGTTTTCTGCTACTTCTTCTGCATACTGCTTTCGGTAATGTAACTTCCTTGTTTCGTTGGTTTTTCTTTCCGCACCAGGTCAAAACCAGAAAAGCAAGTGTCTGAAGTATGCACTAAGGTCATTCATCATCCTCTCAAAATCACCGGAAAAAGAGAGATAGGTATTATATGAAACAGTGATAGACCACTGAAACAGCGCTTGTAGAACAAGTTCAAATGGTATCCAAATGGTCCAAGCCAACCAAAAACAAAATTTGAAAGTACTTCCATCAGTACGAGGCTTGGAGAGATATCCAACCAAACAGGGAGAGAATGAACCTGAGCAAATAATTTTCATTAATATTTGATGATGTCTCACTTCTATGAATTTTTGGCATGTGGTCTTGTTTTCTAGGTAGAACAGAGATCGTACGAGGTCTACCAAATAACTGATTGCGCTATTTGAAAGACATGCATCTGACAAATTAACAGAAGACACCCGTTTCGCTAATTGCTCCTTCAGAATATGCATGAATTACAGTAACTGTATCAAGTATACCTGGTACATACGACCATAGGTTATGACAAAATTGGCCGCAGAAATGATAACCAGTAATGTTATTCGGAGTTTGATTCTGGAAAGGTTCTCGATGATTAATATATTCAAGTTTGTTCCATTAAGACCTGAAATAGACTTTCGAAATGAGGGCAAGAGAAAGACCTGAAAGCAAGATGTTGATGAGAATGCTAATCTCCAGGTTGTTTTCAGTTTTATCCGAAGTTGTGAAGCACTGAAATTACTCAGGTTTCTTCAGCCATTTGAGAAAATTTCTTGCTTTCACGAATTTGGCTGATTCTAAGAATGAATCAAGCTGCTTCAGTTGCCTTAATTCGTATTTGATGTAAGAAGATATAAGTTTATCTTTCTCAGGACAACTGCCAACATCTTCCGAATCACAGCTATGAGAAACTCTTTGTAGAAGATTTATGAAAACATCATGATCAGTTGAGTATAAGTAGGATGAAAGAGATTCCAAACTTTTGTTATCCGATGGAAACCTGAAATTTTAAATCAAAACTGGACACTCCTTTTACAAACTCTAGTATTAAACCGCGAGAAGAGTTTGTGTATTGGAACAATCTTTCGATGGTTGATCGGGCTGAGTATGTTTTCAGTTCTTCTATCTAAATTAAATGTTTTTTGTTATCTCATGACGGTACCTTAAATGAGATCGATGAAGTGATCAGAACGAACATCGAAACCATGTACAGATACATGTTTCTTTTAGAGATTGCGATAGAGTATAGATTTTGCTATGCAGATCTTAGTTTTGCAAAAGCTTTATTTACTTGTAACACGTGACTTAAGCAACATTCTAGACAGAGTAAGTTCGAAAGGATGGTATTGAATCCTATTAGAACATTCTTTTATAATACAGCTTTAAAGCAAACATTAGCTCTTCCCTTAACTTCAGTTGAGAGAGAATTCTCCCGCATATTTAATATATTACTCACAAACATCAGCTTCTTTTTCAGCTGAAGCTTGAAAGCGAATGTTGTCAATCATTTACGGTATGAAATCGTATTCAAAGTCAGACGTCAATCCAGAGTTTTGTACGCAATTCACAATTTCTTCGAATAACGTTATATGAAAGACAATTAAGTTCATATATAATAACAAGATCTCCAGAAACGTATGGAAGAAGCAAACTGTTCGATAAGTGCTGTAGGAGAAGAAAAAGAAATATTAGAAACAAACGAAACCCTGCCGCACTATAGGTTTGGTTGGAGTTTACTACTAAAATCTACATTTTCTTCAATAACTCACGATAATATATTTTGCAATTGCTATTTCAGCAGAGCCTACATAAAGTTAGTTTGAGATATATTTACTGTCTTGATTCTCAGTTTAGCGATTACGATTTAACCAAAAAGAGTGAAAAGGAAGACTTCGTCAAAGAGCTTGCGGCTATGGCCAAGAACGTTGAGTTGAGTGAAGAAATGGACAATGATATAGTCGAAGAAAAAGGTAATTTTAAATGCGGAAGTCTAACTGTTAGGCATCTTAGATTCATCAGAGGAAGATTTCACTAAATTACCTACCTGTTTCGGTGGTAATGCTCGACCAGCAAAAAAGCGCAAAAACTTTCTAAACTATAGTTCACTCAACTTCGAAGATTATTGGAAGGTATGTTCAATTGACACGATGTATTCACCAAACGTTTCAGAACTCACAAACTTACCTCATATATTCTTTGTGGAAAGAACTGTACGGACACACAATCGTTGATGAAGTGGCCAAGAAAAAACTAGACGAAGATATACGTTCTTGGAATCCGGGAAAGAATTATCTTATCAATGCTCACAGAGATATATTGGTATGTTTTAAAAGTAAATTCAGAAAGTTGAAACATTTACAGCAAAACGAGTCGTACAAAAACATTCTACTTGATCATGAAGAAAGCAATAATTTGAAAACGACGAATGAGCTCTATGAGTTTTTCGCTGAAAAGGTGAAAGCCCAATCCGAAAAAGATTTCATGAAAGAAAAATCTTCAGTTTTAGCGAAGAAATGTAGAAATTTCATGAACAAGGTTTGTTGAGTGCTTATTCTTCAGTTGGAAACTTAATTTCAGATAGAGAATATGGGATTCGTGAAAGAGGAAGACCTAAAACAAAAACCAACTGAAAAAGAACAACAAAAAAAGAATAGAGATGACGATTCTGAGCCCGAAGTAGAACCCATCAAATCGCGAGCATTGAAAGGCACTCGCTTCCCTGTGGTGTACGGAGATAATGATGTAAGCGATTTTAACATTTCTGACCGAACATATTGTATTTTTCAGATTTTTGGTGATGTTCATGTAGAGTTTGAAGAACCATCGTCAAGCCAACACTATCGGTATTGTCGTTTCTTAGTTTCTGTGTCTATCTAGTTATTAAGACCGTTCAAACGATTAGAAGGAGATGAGGATGATAAAGATGTAACAGAAGAAGAAGAAGATCATAAAGAGACGAACGTTTCTGAAATAAGGTTTAAGTACGATCCTGAAACGGAACATCACCTCCTCGCTAGTAATGCGCATGAATATTATCAAACGGATTCGGTAATTAATGGCATTTTCCTGTAATTCTATTAATCTTGTAGGAAATAAGAAAATACTTTTATCAAAGGTACAGACTGTTCTCTCGTTTAGATCATGGAATACTAATGGATAGAGGTTGTTCACGATATATCATTTCCTTTAGAAGCTTTTTGTTCAGAAGGATGGTTCTCTGTTACTCCTGAGAGAATAGCAGCGCATATAGCAGATCGCCTAGTCATTCGCGAAAATATGATTATTGTTGATGCTTTTGCAGGAGTGGGGGGAAACAGTATACAGTTTGCTCTTAAAGGAGCCAGAGGTAGTTTTTATCGAATTGCGGATCGTTAACCGTATTTTTGTAGTTATTGCTATTGATTTGGATCCTATTCGCCTCAAATGCGCTATTCAAAATGCTAAGGTAGAAAATTCAGTACACATGATTTGTAATTCTTTCCATCTTGTAGGTTTATGGAGTTGAGGATAGAATAGAATTCATATGCGCGGACTTTTTCCATTTTGCTGCTCGATTCACGAACAAAAAGGAGAACGACGTGCCTTTACAAGTATGTTCTAACGGAGTGAGTGTGAAGTTTTAGAATAATATTTAAGGTTGACAGCGTTTTTTTGAGTCCTCCTTGGGGTGGGCCCAGCTATCTGAAAAAGAAGGTTCTTTTACTATCTTTCACTGTGTTGATTATATTATCAAAATTAGGTCTTTGATCTCGGTGATGGTTTAACTCCTAACGGGTTTGATATTTTCACGGCAGCCCGGGCGATGTCCCCGAATATTGCGTATTTTCTTCCAAGAAACACTTGTATAAAACAAGTATGTGTTCGATTCTCTGAGTACAAATGAGCCAATTTTTTTAGCTGATATCTCTCGCTGGTCCTGGAAACAAATGTGAGATCGAGCAAAGCTGCTTGAACAAGAAAGTCAAAACGCTAACAGCTTATTATGGCGAACTAGCTTGCACTGAATGATTTCTCAGTTTGTTATCTCAAAGATTGTTATGTTATATGATAGTATTTCAATATCATTTGAAATAAAATTCGAATCAAATCTGATGGGTCCACCTGTTTCGCAGCTATGCCGCGCTTCCTTGGTGCTACTCTTTCGTACACAGCTGTGCTCCTGTCCGCAAGCTTCGTTACACTACAGCTAGTTGACGGGCAGTTCAAATCAATATCAACCTTAGTTGTGAAGGACTTTCCTCTGTTATTCTTGCGATTTCATTATCTTTTTTTTTGTTCCAGCTTTGATTGCTTGTAGTTTTTTCTAACGGAAGTACGGAAATTGTCTAGATAATTATGGCTGCTTCCTGTTCATCTGGTTTTTAGAATTGCTGATCGTCCATTATGGGCTTAGTAATAACATGGTTTAGTCCCAAGAGGCAGTTCACATCCATCACATCATGCTCTGCCAAGAAAGACATAAGCTTCGATAAAGCTTCATCATGAGAAACTAAGTATTCTGGAGGAGGATTACATCGTGCATGATCTAAGTATTGTATATTGACCGAGATTGAGTATACTTGTTCAAGTATCTCAGCTATATAATGGTTAGTATATTCGAGCTCGGGTTTCACAGCTCTGCCAAGAAACTCTGCCTGTTCACTGACCAAATACTCTAGCTGGCTATTGGATTAACATTGATTTAGGACCTTCGATTTTCATGTTTTTCTTTAATCCGTCTTCTTTTCCAAGTTCCATGCTTTCGATATTGTATCAACAAATTAGCATATTGACGTGAGGAGCATAAACGACCTCAGCGTCATTAAACACATTTTGGAATTGTTATGCGTTGGACGGTTGCTTTTTCATTTTTAGTTTTAAATTTCTCTCCAAACTGTGGAATGTTATTTTTGTTTGTTTAAGAAATGCATAGCCATCTTTACGTCTACGATTGCTCTCCAGGATTTTTTTTAAAACAAAAACATTCGTCTTTTCCTTACTTTCGCTTCAGAGTGGCATTGGATTAGTAACAATGATATTGCTGTCACCAATGGGTTGAGAACAAAAAATGTTTCATAAAATTGCTCGTGCTTTGTCTTTTTTCTAAGTTTCAAGCAGGAGAGCGAGCAATAGATAGTAAAATAAAGAATTTTACCAAGCATATGTCTCTTACACATCAGACATGTAAGCCCTTTTGGTAATCCTCCTCTTCAGTCTGTCTTCTCGGCGCCACGGAAGCCGCCAGCAGATTCTTCATGCCATTATAGTCTTTCTAGAAGGCTTAGGGTTGGCATAGTTTGCCTGATAAAACTCACATGCTCTGCGCACGTTCTGTATGACCGTATGAGAATTTCGTTGTATCAATCACACAAGAAAAGGTTTCATAATGCTCTCGTGTTAAATTAATTGTTTTTCTATTGGCGTTGCTGCTCCTAACTACTTTATGGCCCAACTCAAATTCATTTCTGTATTACTATCTTTCTGCTCTTTAATTCATCGTGAATTTTGTTTGCTTCTCGAAAACAAAGAACTGATGAAGCTTTGTGATTAGAAAGCTGTTCGATTTTAGAATTGTTCTTTCATTCTTATTCATCATGTCTAACAATAATAATTTCAGACTTCTAGTGGCCTTTAATGCATCCAGACCTCATTCTGGTGATATTTAGAAGGAGTGCATTGTGGCCAAACGCTTAGAACAAGCTTTCCCTCTTTAACATCCTAAATTCTTTTCAAATACATACTCAGACACACACACACACACACAGACATATTCCAAGCCAGAACTAACTCACCATTCTTCATAAAATGACAAAAAGTCTCATTGGGAGTTCTATTATTTTACTTTTTATCTTATTCACTCTTAATTTATTAGGTAAGCATGATTAGGAAACCTAAGTGATCTAAAATCTTTTTAGTATCAGCTTCGGAAGATGAAGAAAGGCTTATGGTTGATGTATTCCGAGGTTACAACTCCTTAATTCAAGTAAGTATCACATTGGTTTTGGTTAACAGTTCTACTTTCAGCCGGTTCGTAATATAAGTGAGACTCCTATCATAGTAAAAATAGCTTTGCAACTTGTCCTCCTAATCAATGTGGTAAGTAATAAGGATTCGTAAAGTAATGATTATTCTTACTATTTAAGGACGAGAAAGATCAGGTTATGCATACAAATGTGTGGTTGACTTTGGTGAGTCTTGAATAATTTTTTCTTAGCCTAACTGTTGTTTTGAGAAATGGCACGATTTCCAAATGAGATGGAACCCTGTTAATTATGGGGAAATCCGTCAAATTCGAGTATCACCCGATAAAGTTTGGTTACCTGATATAGTGTTATTCAATAAGTGAGCATTGAATATGAATCAGAAAGAATATTACATTGTTCTAGTGCTGATGGAAATTATGAAGTTTCTTTCATGTGCAATGTTGTTATTAATAATATAGGAGAGATGTTGTGGGTACCTCCAGCCATCTATAAAAGCTCCTGCATCATCGGTTAGTCTAACTGCGTGAGTTGCTTATGTGCAGATCCTAATTATAGATGTTGAATTTTTCCCTTTTGATGAGCAAGTTTGTACACTTGTTTTCGGTTCGTGGACGGTTAGTTCGTTTATAATAAAATCTTTAGACTTAGTTTATTTTCAGTATAATGAAAATGAGATCAAGTTAGAGTTTGAACAAGCTGAATGGGTTGATCTCTCCGAGTATTCACCATCTTCCATATGGGATTTGATGGACGCTCCAGCAAGTTTAGTGAATAAGAGAAGTCGAATTGAATTCCAAGTGCGGATAAGGTAGGGCATTCTAGAATCTTCGCCTTTTGTTGCCAGATTATCCTTCAGCCTTGTACTTTTCCTAATCGGTTGTTTTCAGAAGGAAAACCTTATTCTACACTGTCGTGCTCATCATTCCAACTGTTTTGATGGCTTTCTTGAGTATGGCAGTCTTCTTCCTCCCTACAGATTCAGGTACCACATGATAACATAAGAGTCCCGTTAATTCATTATGTTTAAGGCGAGAAAATGACGTTGACCATATCCGTTCTGCTCTCTATTGTAGTGTTTCTGCTCTTAGTTTCGAAAATTCTTCCTCCTACATCAAGCACAATACCTCTGATGGCAAAGTATGTGGCCTTCATTATGGTTGTTCCATGACTCACTTCCAGATATTTGTTGCTGACATTCGTACTGAATGTGATTACTATTCTTGTAACTGTGATTATCATTAATGTCTATTTCCGAGGCCCTACAACTCATCGTATGCCTCAATGGGTTCGCACAATGTTTTTAGATGTGAGTTATGCTCTACATACATCTTCACCATGTTTTTCTTATTTCAGTGTATGCCCAAAATCATGTGTATGCAACGTCCAAAATCAGCTTCTCGCAAGTTATTACAAGTAATCCTCCTTTATTTTCTTCTTTTACTCATATGAATATGCAGGCTCAAGCTAAAAAAGCAATCGCTCAGCTGCCAGGTTTGGGACAGTTCTCACTTAATCCAGCAGCTCATCATCCGTATTGTCCATCCGCCGATGATGCAACTACCAATGTTAGAGCAATGCATTCTCCATCAGAAATAGAAAAAAATCCTGCTACTGCTTGCTTCTATCCTCTGTCACCAGATGCTTTAAGAGCGATTGATGCTATAGAATACATCACTGATCATTTGAAACAGGATGAAGAATATAAAATGGTACCTCAATGTATGTACTGTTTCATTCTAGTTTGATTTCAGTTCCGCGATGATTGGAAATATGTAGCAATGATAATCGATCGATTACTACTTTATGTGTTTTTTGGAATAACTGTTGGTGGAACGTGTGGAATTCTATTTAGTGCTCCATATGTATTTCAAGGTTCGAACTCAGTCAATATTCGAATTGTCAACTTCATTTTGCAGGCGTGGATCAACGGGAAGTTTTACAAAAGCTGATAGATCTTTATAAACACAAAGGAGCTTCTTGAATGTCTAACTCAGTATGTTATATGTTTTATTTTATTAATTTTAATGAATCGGGTCTAATATTAATAAAAAAATTTTTATAACAGACTATTGTGTAGGTGACTATGAAAACTCATCAAAAGGCAAAGCAAATTATGGCGCATCGCATTCATGAGACGGGGAAAATGTGTTAGTGTATTTGTGTTATCAGAGGGCTTTTCAATCGCTCTCCCTTTTCGCTGGTTTCGATGTCATACTGAAAGATGTGAAGAGTTGATAAAGAAGTCGGTAGATGGAAGCCAATGGTCTGTTTGCAGGTGGATGATTCACTTATGAAACGAGCAATTATTGAACAAACAGTCTTTCTTTGAAAATACTTTCCCTTCAGCACTGTTTGTTTTATTTTTAGTTCATATTTTAGTTAGTTTAATTGTTTAACTAATGATGTGAGAAATACCGTGATGAAAGGTTTGAAACCAACTCGGAAATGTTTCAAATGACAAGGCTGAGCTTGAGCCTTTCGTTTGGATCGTTTCATTGAGCTGAAAGAGTGCAACTTTTCCTAATCTTAACCATGCAGAAAATCAAATATTTTTATCAAAAAAAAAAGATTTTTGAAAGATGGAATGTAGGTAGGGATTGGTTGCATGGTGACAGAACGCCGAGGAAGTGTATGTGTGTGTGTGTGTGTCTTGACGAAAACATTTGTAGAGCGTTTAGAGTCTACTGCGTCGAAATATTTTCTAAATGATCTTTCGGGAATTAATTTTAGCTTCTATAGCCTGAGTGATGACGTGGATTTATTGGGAGCTTCTCCAAAACTTTCTAATCGCTCTCTTTAGTATCAACAGTGTTTCTACGCCTTTGAACTTCCACCCCTGCAGCTGGATAAACATTTTTCAATTTTTAATTTTCACTTCTTATCATTGATATTCGCAACGAATGACCACCCAACTTGCTGTCACATGCATGCGCGGTTTGAGTGAAACTTTCCAATTGATTTTCTCCTTTTTTTATTTAAATTTTTAATTATTTTCTTTTTTTCAATGAACTCAATGAGCTGTCTTGTGCAAGCAGTTGAAGTAAGTCAATTTTTTGTCTCAAACAGAATTTTCTAAGAGAAGCACGTGAAAGAAAAAAAGAAGAAGAAAAAGAGATATATAAGTATGAAGTAAATGCGGGAAATTGCGTGTAGTTTGATGAGATAGCAGACATGCTGATGCAGAATGTGAGTAAAGGCTAGAGATGGAAAGACAACTAAGACCATAGGGTGAATGAAAAGAGGAAGAGAGTTGTTTGATGGCCAGCAGTACACGACCAGCTTCAACTGCCAACGCACATAGACTATGGAATGTCTGCTTCTAACGCTGAATTTCCGAACTTCTCCTATTCATCCCACCATCACTAACAAACATAAAAACAGAGTCCACTTATCATTTCTGATTTAACTATTGCTTAATCACTAACTTGTATCATTCTTCATTATTTTCGTCTAATGTGAAAATAGGTCAGAGAACTCTTACAAGACGTGTCGTTGCATTCATGTCATTACGCAGCTTAGATTCGAACAAGTTTTCTTTCATTTCATTAACATAGACGATGAATCAATGCATCCTGTTGAGTGTATGTTCACCTATATGTCTCAATAGATTTCCTACTTATACCTAAAGAATTTGTTGTTTCATATCTGTGCCAGTATGTTGTAATAATGAGTAGAGTAATCATGAACAGCGTATAAAAATGAATGAAATGTCCAAGGCAAATAAAGACATTCAGGAAAGTTGAGGCTGTGAATCCGTTGAAGCTGATTATACTTTTTAGGAAAGAGAGAGATAGATAGATAGAGATAGAGAGTAGTCATACTTCATAAACAATCATTCATTTAGCATTCATTTTAAAATGTCTTCTCTAACTTCTCTTGTCATAACAAGCAATTTTTTTTTCGAAATAAAATTGAACACAAAAATCGATAAGAGACTCTTTAGGAATGACAGTAACGTCTGTAACAATTGCCCTCACATAGTGAACCAGCCAACGTGTTCTTCATCGTATTTGAGTAATACACGTAAAATAACAGTTTGCTTTTCGATCTCTTCGTTATTCTTACTGTCTTCTGATTTTCCTCTTGCTCCAAACACGTTCTTCCTCTTGTTGGCCACTCGCACTTGATGCTCTCATGTCGCGTATTATTTCGTTTTTATCGCTTTCCGAAAATGCCAAAATAAGAAATTTTTAATTAAAAATCAATTATTTACTTATTTCTTTTTCAAATTCCACTTCATGTTTTCTGGACTGAATAGTAGAACGACGGAACATCATCATCATCATCATCGTCATGCTATGACATCATTTTACATTGTGAACATCGATTTTTGTTTTAATTCATCTCGGCATCTTTTTTTCTCTGAATTCTTCAAATATATTTTTTTCCTAAATATTCTGTTTCGAACAACAACCTCGTGTGGGTTGGGTTTAAGTCGGGTCACTTTCGTGTTTCAAGCTTCTCCAACATTATTGACCATGAGAATGCTCATTGACGTCACGAGCACAAGTTTAAATTAGAGTTGCTTTCTAATTCAGCATCATCACGTGTTGTGTTATTTTCGGGCCTGGGTCTCATTTCTAAAGATTACCTCTCTTCTTTCTTTCTTTTTTTTTTATCTTATCTATCCCAAGAATGCACTGAAAATTACATTCTCTGATTTTTTAGGAAACTTACTAGCGGATCAGGGGGTATATAAGGAACTGGGAAGCCAAGCTTCTTCTAAACCTCAGCTTGTATTACCATCGTTTTGAAAATGACTCCAACCACTATGATGACCACACTTGACGTGATCTCGCCTACAGGTATGTCTAACCATCACGTTAATCTATTGATTCGCAGTTACTCTCTTTCATTTTTTTCAAAACTCTTTCTGTGTGAATGTTTTCGCTCGTCTTTCTTTCATTTCGCAATAATTGGTTGAACAAGGTCGACATTCGTAGAATACGAGGAAAGTATTTGCAAAATGTTGGACACATGTGACAAATTGCAGGTGCAATGAGAGATATTCTAATAGATTGAATCAGTTATACCTTTCGTTTCAAATACTTTTTGAGTTTAATGTGAATCATCAGATGATCTGTTGAATTCTAAAACTGAATATGGGATTGCTAATAACTGAATCCATGTAGGGAGTGAAACGAAGTCAGCATTAAACACCTGTCTTGAGCGAATCATTTGATTACAGTTTCTCACATCATACTATATTGATAATAGTGCAGCGTTCTTTTTACAGAGCCGTCGTCAAACTTCACATCGTTGGATTTGATAACTCCAAGTGATCCAACAACATCATCTTCGGCTCAAAATAATAACACAAATGGGAATGTGGAGGCGTCAGGCAATTCTCAAGCTCTTGTTCCATGTACCAATGCTAATACCGAAGGGAATAGTAATGATAATAATAATAGTTACTATGGATTACGAATTAGTTAAATCGAGAGTTATAGTATTTTAATATCTTATTGATTTCTTAGATGTTATTAGCGATGTGCTATTCTCCTGTTTCCGACCAACTTTCTGGAGTGGAAATGCACGCACCAAACCAACAACGTGAGATCCCTTCTTGATGATATTATATATGATATATATTATAATTTATTATTTATAATCTGTAATTTACAGAAGTGTTACTCAGGATGATCGTGAAATAGCATTTGAATCGATCAAGACGTTAGATTTTATAGATGCTGGATCACAAGCTGCTGTATTCAGGTGAGTATCAGTATGTTCCCTGTTGTCCAGACTATATCATATAATTAAGTGGCGAATATAACGGACAACTAGTTGCTGTTAAGAAAGTGAAGAAGTTAGAAGAAGTTCAGAGTGTAAGAAATCTGATGAATCTGAAGCATGACAACATCATAAAGTTCATGTTAGTTTGACATTATGATAATTACAAAGACGATGTTGCAGTGGAGTATGTACCCAAGCCCCTTGTTACTGTATCATCATGGAGTTATGTGAGAAAGGAACTTTGAGCACTTTGTTGAAAAGTGAAGATATCATATGTAAGATCAGCTTAAACCATAAATATGAATAATTCTATTGTAGCTCGTGGTGATTGGGTTCGTTGGTTGAAAGAGATTGCTGAAGGAATGCTCTACTTGCATGACAACAAAGTGATTCATCGTGATCTCAAGAGTCCAAAGTAAATATATTAATTAAGGTAGACATTAATATGATTTGGTGTTTTCTAGCCTTCTGGTTTCCAACAACAATCAAATCAAAATCTGTGATTTTGGTACATCCCAAGTACGTCAAGACATGAAGTCAATGGTTATGTCCTTCTGTGGAACTGTCAGCTGGATGGCTCCAGAAGTCATTCGGAAGCAAAGCTGCTGTGAAAAAGTAAGATTACAGTCTTTCTAATCAATCTATTAGCTTATTTGCAGGTGGATGTTTATTCATTTGGTGTTGTTTTTTGGGAAATGCTCACAAGAGAGAAACCTTATAAGAACATTGAACCAATGACAATAATGTATAACGTTGGTCGCAAGTGGGATTCTAAACCAGTTTCGATTCATCTATTTATTTTGTTTCAGAAAACTCTCTTTGCCCATCCCCTCATTGGCATCAGAAGGAGCCAAGATACTTTTGAAGCAGACCTTGAGTGAGAATCCTCGTAATAGACCGTCTTTCCGTAACATCTTGTATCAAATTGGTATTTTGGAATTCGAACTTAAAAAGTTCAACGATGAGGTATAAGCAGAACAGTTTTACATTGCATCACAAATGATTTCTTCGTTTAAGTCATGGCATGAGCATCACAGTAAGATGAGAAGAGAAGCCGAAGCCTATGAGTATCCCGTGGAAACAGCTCGTGAGCCGGAAACAAGCAAGAAAGGTACGTGCCATTGGAGTCTTCTTCATTGAAAGGGTGAATTCAGCTGCTGAACTGGAACGTAGTCGTCGTAAAGTTTTAAAACATGCTGAGGAGATCCGCAACATGTATGAAAACAGATATCAACGGGTAACGGAAATGATGTCTATGCTGAATCAGTGTCATCAAAAACTGATAGATAGAGAAGAGGTTTGCTACAGTTACCATTCATTCATTTGAAAGTTAACTATAGGGGCTAAACAAATGGGAATTAGAATTGCTACACCACCAGCGGACAATGGAAGCACGTTATCCAGGGACCAAAAGCATAGTAATCCGAGCGGGTCCTCAAGCTTTGAGAGGAGCCAAACAAGAGTAAGCTACCTGCTGGAAACTTGCCTTATTTTCTATTTTCAGCATTTCAAGTTCTATAATTCCATCAGCTGCCTCTTATGGTCCTAACGGCTATGATTCGTCTTCTAGTGCTGAAGACATGAACGATTTTGCCGATTTCTCTCGCCAATCATCTTATCGAAGCTCGGCCGGCCGCTTGAAAACAGAAAGAGATCCATCATTCAGCTTTAGTAACTCTGATCGAAAAGCTGTTTTCTAATGTAATGCTTTCAGTGAACCGAGATACAAGGGCTTTCTCTGAACAGCATCATGTTGATAATCTGGTGAGAGGTTGTTCAGCTCGGAATAGCGGATACTCCGTAGATAGTGGAGTGAATCTCAATTGCAGTCTTTCAGTTTTAAATTTATCGGTGAGTATGGTATATAAGCGAGTGATTAATTTATTCAAAAGAATCAAGGAATTTCTTATCCCATGGTTCGTCATGTAGATGGTCGCGCATCCGACTCTAAGCTTTCTGCTAAGCGACGTTCTCATCCAGGTGATTTTTCGATTGATATAATATGAGCTAAGCTCTGATATTCAGATAAATGTAGAAGATCAGAGTCGTATCAATCGAGCTATCGATCTAAGGAGAGGTTTGTAATTGGTAACTAGAGATTTAATCATGTGTATCACAATACAGATCCGCAAAGCACTCAAGCATTCGTAGAATGAAAGTTATGGAGCAGACTGCCAGCACATCAAAAACGTGAGTTGAAATGTGGGTTCACAGATTTCTAAGCCTTTTTTTAAGAATCAGTGACGATGACAAAAATCAAAACAATCAATCAGGATTAAATCAGTTGAAAACAGATGCTTCATCTGAAAACAGTGACGAAGATTACGTTGAATCGAATGGGTAGGGTTGTTATTATACTGTGTTTGGTTATTATATCCTTCCAGGAACAAAGTGAAAAATAGCTTCAAGCCAGCGGTGCGTTCTTCTATGTCTGGAAGAGTCTCATCTAACGACGATCCGAATGATGACAGAAATGATGAGTAAGATAAAATCAAAGAGATTTTTCATTGTTCATTTCATTCTAGAGTTAACATACTAACCAGCTCAAATACTTCTGCTATGGCTTCATCACTGGAGAGAGCGCTTGAAGCATCTGATGGTTTGAGTGATAAAGAGAAAGTTGTAAGAGCTGCTTCTGCTACCATCAAAGGACATCGACGTTGTTACTCGGTACGCTTACTTTTCTTTCTTGTATGTGAAATATATTTGTTGCAGTATCCTATCAATAACTTCTCTTACCCAATGGATGAGATAAGCGCAGACAGTGAGGACGAAGTAGATGTCTAACTAAGCTTGTACATGTGTAGAGATATATCTGATCAAACAATATGATCGAATAGATTAGTCATTATAGGTTTTTCAACTAGTACTCAATCTTTGTCAATCCTTTAGGATTTGAATATGTTTGTATAATCAAAAGAATATGTATTCGATATCTG